AATTATAATGAAACCTCCAACAATTACACTGCATGTCCTTCATGGTGCAATTCTGTTAAGACAAAGAAAAATGCAAAAGATAGGTTTTCTGGGTTTTAAATAAATTCACTATTTAGTTCATTTTCAACAGAGCAATTAAGATGTTTTAGTGTCTACTCAGATTTTATCCTTATGAGTAATAAGTATTTTAGAGGCAAACTCTACTTCTCATTTTTTCTTTTCTTTTCTTTTTTTTTTTTTGTCTCCTCAATAATTTTAGAAATAAGTCCAAATTACCCAAACTGGCTGCCTCATGGTTCTTAGTATAACAAATGTTATTGCTGTAATTCTCAAAAGCAGGTATCATGCTGACTTGAATTCTAATTAGCCTCTAAGCAAGACTGGCTAATGCATTCTGTGTCAAGACACATTAATCAACATTTTGGGGCATGTTTTTAGCACCCAGGCTAATCAGCACATATTTTTCAAACACTGTTGTTCTATTTTGGGGGACAATGAAAATCAGATCCGCTCAGGAACAAAAAATATCACAGAAACATGACTTGGTCTAAAGAGTGTTTTTAGACAGGTTAAGAAAATGATATATTTTACTTCTTAATTGACACTAGCTTATAAAAATAAAACAAATAGTAATAAATGAAAAACCAGATATTTTTCTGCGAGCAAGAACTAATCAGTTAGGACTTTCTGGCTACCATTTTGCCTAACAGATGGAATGCTCTGGAAGTCTATCTGGAAACATCTGGCAAGCCATTTCCGTGAAAATGAAACTGCCTCTTTCTTTCTTCCTTCCTCTCTTCATTGGACTAACATCTCCTGCTTAGTATTTGTTGGTTCTTCTCACTTTTATGAATGGTGTCCCAGTGACCACTCATCAGGAAGAGTGGGACTGTCTGAAATATTCCCCTGCTGTGTTTAGAAAGTCAGTTAAGATTCTATTATGGAATCCTAAGACTTCATGAAATCTTCAGCAGTCATTAGATTTCAGAAAAGCCTCATTCCTAGAAGTTTCCCGGCTTTGCTTTGTTTTTATAATACAGAAGGGCAGTTGTCGCTGCTTTCATGGTTGGTAGACAGGACTGTTGTGGTTAATGTGGCTCCGTAGTCTGTTTGCTCTTTAACTTTTATCCAGAAGACTTCCCATATAAGTTGCTGTTACAGTGAGATATTTGGGTTGGTTGCTTTTGGCGGGTGGATAGGTACTAGCAGATGAGTTGAGAAAACTGACTTCAACCCAAAACATCTCTTACTCAAAATTAAACTGGATACATTTTGCTCAATGTTAGTTAAATTGAGTGTCCTATGAAATAAAACTGAATTTTGACAAATAAGACCAGAAAAAATGTAAGAAAGATAACATTAGTATGTAAAGGTTTTTTCCCCCTAAAATCTCTTTAATGTCTGGCTTAAAAGACTGCAGCTGGATTCTCATCTACTCTTCTATATTCTGTTTCTCAATTTGTTGTTCAGGGTGAAGAATTTTACACATCTCAGATAGGTAATTGGACAAGGAAAGGTTATTTTAACAACTTAATCAGATCGAGTTGCTGTTGTTCTTTGATGTAACTTCCAAGCTCCATGAGTGGCTGTGTCTTAAACATTAGACTCCATACAGACTCTGAAGCCACATCATGAGTCATTCACGCTCAGATGCTGAAGGGCAAGAGCAAGCAATGTCTTTGCATATTGTGAAGCCATCCAACTTTTGAGCCCTCTTCCACAGTCTGAGAGAGCTAGGGTTTGCCAAAACACTTTCAGAACTCCTAGGATAAGGTCGGGAGATAAGTAAGCTTAAAAAGCTTAAGAAGGTGGTGACACACGCCTTTAATCCCAGCTCTCAGGAGGCAGAGGTAGGTGGATCTCTGAGTTTAAGCACAGCCTGGTTTACAAAGTGAGTCCAGGACAGATGGGACTATACAGTGATACCCTATCTCGAAAGACAGGAAGGAAGAAAGGAAGGAAAGGAGGGAGGGAGGGAGGGAGGGAGGGAGGGAGGGAGGGAAAGAAGGAGAGAGGAAGGAAAAAAAGAAAAGAAATAAAGAGAAGGATCTTCATGTCCTGTCTATATCAGCAGTAGTTTCTGAAGTCTGAGAGAGAAGAGACCAATAAGTATCCCCACCCCATCCCACCACGAGATGGGGAAGATGGAGCCATGGCCCTAAAGGGACTGAGCACTCTCAGAAGAAGTAGACACAAACCTGCGATCCTATAGCTAGATATGCCAGGTTTTGCTTTGAATACATTGGAATATGAAGTGTGTCAAGTTGTACATATGTGACTGCTACTTTCTTGGAGTGATCATGAGCAACTAATCACACTAAAAGCCTTTCAAAGCATACAAGAGTAACAGTACTAAAATAAGTGAGACTATCAAATCTGCTCTGATTTTTCTCTTAAAATTAAATAATTCTGCCCTGAACCATCTATTAAAGGAAATTTAATGTGTCTTTAAAAGGAAGAAAAAAATTCCTTTATCTAGCTGCTGAGATAACAGAGCCTTATTTATTTGTGAATAATGCAACTGCATGCTTGATTTTTTTATAAACTAAACACTAACTCAAATAAGGAATGTGTTTCTGCAATTTCCATTCTTCTTTTTATTAGTATGCTTTAATGAAGCTTACACTTGATGGGCTAAAGATATCATTTTATTTTTGCTTAAAAATGTGTAAAGAGGGCCGGGCGGTGGTGGCACACGCCTTTAATCCCAGCACTTGGGAGGCAGAGCCAGGCGGATCTCTGTGAGTTCGAGGCCAACCTGGGCTACCAAGTGAGTTCCAGGAAAGGCGCAAAGCTACACAGAGAAACCCTGTCTCGAAAAACCAAAAAAAAAAAAAAAAAAAAAATGTGTAAAGAGTTCAAGTTGACAAGCAAATATTCAACCTCTACATTACTATTTCAGGGTATCCGTATTGACCAATGACTTTAATGTTCATTCCAGAATTGCTCTTGAAAGTGGGAAGAAGATACCTATTCATGCTAAATATTACTTTATTAGAAGAAATATTTTATTTATAAATAAATATGTCCCTTATAGTATTTTGTTTATAAAATAACAAATCAAATTATTTTGCTAAAGGTGGAATTACTCACAAATGATTTCTCTGAGTTGAGTTCAGGTTTTTATTTTGAAATATTGAGAGGTATGGCATATTTACCAGGTTTTTTCTTCCTGGAGGTGGTAGACTGTGGTGCCAAGTAGAATGACAACTATAGGAAATAACCTTACCATCCACCTCCATTCCGAGGCCCAAGCCCCCACCTTTCTACCCTCTGAGTACCCACATCAGAGTAAATCGTTGAGCAGTGTGTCACCCGAAATGTTTTATGGTGACTACATCCTTCTGTTCCCAATACCCAACATCTAACTTTTATATGGCATGTTTGAAAATTTCATTTGTTTGAAACATAGATGCAAACATTTTAACACACCTTGCGGAACACCCCCCCCCCCATGCTTTCCTGCTTAATTCCAAGAACCAGGAAACAGGTTCAACAACAGCTGACTTAGAGGGAAATCAACTGAACTGATAATTCTTCCAGAAATAGTCCGAGCATGAATAAAACAGGAAATATGAAATCAGGACCCTTGTGGGATGTATTTTATATTTTAAATGGTTAGACTCTTAATGTTTTGTTTGCCTTGACTAATTAAAAAGAAAATAAAACGTTATGAATATCAAGACAATGTAAACACTGGCTCAGGTATTCTTTTTGCCACCAAATATGTAGTTTGTTTTCTAACACCAGGTTTCCAATTTTCTGATTCAGACACCCACTGAATTTGGCCTGAAGTTCAGTCCTGTCTGATGCTGCCCTGGTTAGCCTCAGATGTAACAGGTTTCAGGACCAACCCTGAAAGATTAACTTCATTTCAGTTGCATGTAGCAAATTCCCAGGCTACTTGGATTATCTGCACTTTTTCTGATGTGGCTATGGATTTAGGCCTTTTGGGGACACCCATTTTAAGAAATGGCTCAAATGAGTCACAGTTCAGGAAGACGCGGGGCTGTGCTTTCCATTATAGTTTATAACAAAGGCTGAAAAAGAATGGCCCACTGAATGTCTAGAGGAATGCTGGACACAACAGCCCCTGTCCTGTGGGTCTGAATGCTCTACCCTCCTGGTACGTAACTGTTGACTAGGAAAGTCTGCACTGGCCCTGTCATTTAGGGGTTTCTATGGGGATTCCATTGGATGATTGATGAAATCACTACCCTCTGTGATTGAACTCAATCTCCAGCCATTCTCCCCTTCCCATAGGTTAAGACACATAATGGAAAATTCCAGCCTTCTAGCCATCAGATTGGTTCCTTACACTTTGACACTATCTAGGGGGCTCACTTAGCATCTCCTGCTTGTATCAATTCATGTGTAGTTGGAAGGGACTAGTTACAAGCAGCAAAAGATGTCATTCACCATTCCTGTAGCCCAGAGGAATCTGAGGCTTAGAAGATCTATGCCAAGACCTGGGTACCATTTATTATAACACGAATGAATTTCCTCCAGGTAGTAGAGATGATGTTTGAGAGATATGGCAAGAAAAGAGACTTTTCCTTTCATGCTGAACATTACTAAATCTTTTCCCTGGCCATATTCATTGTATCAGTTATGTATTATTGTTGCCTACCACTTTACCCTAGAAAGCAATTGCTGGAAACTGTTGTTCAGCTTATTGTCCTGAAAGAGAGGAATTCAAGCAGAGCATGGCAGGTGCCTCTGCCTCTGAGTCCCTGAACAGACTGCAGTGAGGCAGGCATCCAGGACTGTGATCTCTTTAGAATAATTTAGAAATTATTATAAAGACATTTGTCCAACGGCCTTGCCACTTTCTAAAGCGTCTCTGGAGCTCTGCTCAGTTTTCATTGATGATCGTCTTATAGTAAGTAGTTTGATCTCAGCCAGAACACTTGTTCACAATCAAGGAAGTAAAGTCACAGTGGGAAGAACTGAGTGTTCTGTCAGACGAATAATGCCTCGTGTGCCCATCTTTTTTTAAGGGAGAACCAGGCTTCATTGGTCCTCAAGGAGAGCCCGGCTTACCAGGGTTACCAGGAACAAAAGTAAGTAGACCTTTATTTCCCCTTGCTTTCCTGTGAAATTTGTGTCATCCCTGCTGAAAGAAAGGTGGGAGGACTCTACTGTTCAGATGGCCACATATTTCTGCCTTAGAACCAAGGCAGCCTGATCCACCTGTTAATGGCATGCAGTCGGAAGTTACACGTAGGAAGCTCTAGGCACATCAGCCAGTGGGTGACTTATAGTAGAAGTTCAAGTTTGCCCTCCGGATTCCTCAATAAGTGTGATGTCACTGGCCTCCCGGCGACATGGAAAGGTAGCAGAGAGAGAGGAGGGCTGGAGCTCACCAACCCCTGCTCTTCCTCATCCGTTTTAGGATACACTTGTAAATTGGACATTAATCCCATCCCCATGGATGTCACAGAGATTTCTAAATACTTCACTCCAAAAAGATCTACCCTGAATGATGTTTGTAGAAGTATTCTATAATGAAAACCATCTCTTAGTGTTCTATTTGGCAACCTTAAAGAGGACCCTGAAAGCAAAAGCTATATGCTGCCATGCAAAAAAAGAATACAGAGCTGCAGACAGAGTCAAGTCTGCCTTTGTCTGCCCAGTAAGACATAAAAAGATAGGAATCTGATGATGGAGTTGTACTCATGACAGACTCATGAATCAAAGGTGCAAAGTGGCATCAACTTATATTCACTTATTTTTAAACCACGGCAGACTCTGCCTCGGTGAGTTCTGAGTTCACCAGAAATAGGCCAGGGGGAATTTCCAATAGTTAGAGAAATATGTCATGGTCTATTCAGACAGACTAGTCCCCCTTTCCGCTTTGGTCAAGTGAAATGAACTCTCATCCTAGCAAGTGGAAACTATTCATTGCCTAAGGGGACTGGGACTCCTCGTGGGATTATGCAAACTTGGTTTCAAAAGAAATCCCATTTTCACACCATGAGCTATCAGGCCCGTTAAAGAAATTCTGTGTTAGCCTGAACAGATTCACACAAGAGAGACCTTTCTGAGCAGGAAAGACAGAGAGAGAGGGGAAATAAATTGTCTGCTGATATGAGAGCTGTTAGATTGATTGAATGTAAAGCCTTAAAGCCAGGAGAGAGGAGAAGGTGGCCAGGTGGAGGAGCATATCCACTACCACAGGGGGAGAGGAGTCCCAGCAGGCGAAGCCCTTGGGAACTGCTTCTAGAAGGTTTTTCTAGACAGGGGAAGGTAGAAGAGACCCAGCTGGTAGAGCTAGTCATCCCTAAATATTCCATAGTTTCAGAGAGAGAGAGAGAGAGAGAGAGAGAGAGAGAGAGAGAGAGAGAGAGAGAGAGAGAGAGATACATAGAGCCACAAAGTGGGCAGTAATTGCTGTTATGAAGGCCTCAGCATGACTCTGAAGGACAAATGCTTTACTCTGTACCTCTAGGAGAGGGGAAGGCTGTGATGCACCCGTGTGGCGTTTCTACAAGCAAGTATGTGCCTAGAAAGTCATGTTTTAGCAATACTCTATACTTAATTGTTAGTTGGGTTGCCTATCTCAAAAACAGTTGTGTCCTAAGGGGAGATTTCAAATTTGAAAATCTATTTTGAGCCAACAATGGCTCTTAACCATTTTTATGGACGGTCTGGGTTTGTACCCCTATCAACAGATCTGAAAAATAAACAAAATGGTGTGTCTTCCTCGGAGGGCAGTGAAGACATATCCTAAGAACGAGAGACTAAAGGCATCTAGATATCTGTAGTGGGGATGGTGTGTCCGAAGAGCCTGTCCCAATGCCTTTGTCAGAGCTACATCTGCCTAGAAAAATTCGATTTCAGTCAGAGTACAAAAAAAAACCCTCAAAAAACCAGGATATCAGAGCATAAAGCATGGGACTTCACCACTGTGCTATACATTTTGCTGAAATTCCTTAATATTTGCTACATAATGTGAATAAATGTCCATTCAATAATCATAATCATAATCATAATAATGAGAAGGAAGAAGTAGAAGTAGTAGAAGGGGCCATACTGATACCCTTTAAAAGTCTTTACATTTATATACATAGCTACCTAATGGACATTTACTAAACTCTTTCTGTATTTATAAAATGGAGATTATAGGACAAAATTACATATTTATGTATTACTCAGGGTATTCTAAAGACACAGAACCAACATCAATGAACAAATGGGTGGGTGGGTCAGTGGTTAGGTAGGTAAATATGTATGTATATACATGTATGCATATATACATACATGTATATACATGGCTAAGAAAGGGGTTTATTAGGAGATTTGGCTCATGTGATTACAGAGGCAAAGATGTCCCACAGAAGCCAGCTATCTACAAGTAGAAGGATGCTAGTAACATGGCTCTGTCCAGGTCTGAAGGTTTCAGAATCGTGGAAGCTGGTACTGCAACTCCTGGGCAGAAGTTAAAGGTCTTAGATGCAGTGCCTGGCGCTAGTCTTGCCGCCAAGGCAGAGACTGTGCTATCATGAGCAGGTGCTCCAGAGGAACAGAGACAGCTTGCCTGTCCTCTGCCTTTTGTTCTAACCATCCCTAAGCCAAGTTGGCATCAACCACCTATTTTAAGGGTAAACCTTCCGCTCTCAGTCCACTGACCAATGTGCGATCTCCTCTGACAACACCCTGATGAAAACCATCAGAATGCTTCAGCAGCTCCATAGATGTTCCTTAACCCAGCCAAGATGGCACCAACAATTAACAATCTCAGATTGTTTTGTGTATGAAATGGGATCATTCATGTTCAGACATTAACACAGGGCCAGCATGCTGTAAATGAGTAATGGTGCTCTGTTTACCTCGGTTTTATCGAACTCCCATATTCCTCTCCAGGGAACAGCCATGGGGAGGCTGCTATTTACCTGTTTTGTAATTTATTACAGGGTGAACGTGGAGAAGCAGGGCCTCCTGGGAGAGGTGAACGAGGGGATCCTGGAGCCCCAGGCCCAAAGGTCAGTTATTGTTACATTGGAAGAGAGCATTCTTTAGTTAGGGAGTGCATGCCTCTTGCTGTGGAATATGCAACTAACTCTTCAACAGATACTAAAACGACCCAAATCACAAACACCTCATTGAACTGTACACTGATGGGTAGCGATTTTTACAGTCTGACTTTCCTTGTTTATTTACTCTGTGCAGCCCAGTGAAGTAATTTAATAACATATCTGAATGTAAAGGGAGAGGTGCTGTCATGTTACACATTATTGCTAAATGTGTGTTACAGCCGGCTGAGAAAAACCTCATTGCCGAGTGCCCTGTTCGTTTCCATGGTAACTTGATGGAGTGTAATATCTTGAAAATATTAGAACTAAGGATTTATTTGCCTGTGCAACCTCTGTTTACCTAAACATTATGCAAACTAACGTGGTCATACTCTATTCTACTAACCCGCCCCTCTTGGAGACAGGGGTGATGTGATCTCTGATGAAAAAGAGATCTGAGCACAGAAGCACTGTGGAGACTCGTAAGAGCCACTTACAGAGCTCTCTCCAGCCACTGATGGAAAACAGTCCTCAGAGTCATAATGGAATAGAGATTGGCGGAGACCGGAGAGTGAGCTCCTGGAGCGTTACAGCAATGTGTATCCTCTGTGTTCTAGTAACCGACACTGCATCTATCGCACTGGGTGGGGCCGTGAAGATACAGTGTGTCTGTGATCCTCTTTAGCCTGAGCCTCTGTTCTGATCTTCCCTGTCCTTCTTTTTCTCATCTGCATACTCTTTCACAATAGGGGAAACAAGGTGAATCAGGAGCTAGAGGCCCAAAGGGGTCAAAGGTCAGTAACCAATAACCATTTTGATGTGACTTCAGGCCGTCAAGATATGTGTCCTTTGCCTTTTCCACAAAGAGTAGATGAAACCTTTCCTTCAGGGCTTACATTCGGTTTGTCACTGTGATGATATCACAAGACACTGGCTTAGTTTTCCTTGGTTTTGTCTGCTCTTATCCTTCAGATTATTCCTTTTATAACATTGTGTGTGTGTGTGTGTGTGTGTGTGTGTGTGTGTGTGTGTGTGTGTGTGTGTTATGCTGTGTTTCACAACACACATGTGGAGGTCAGAGGATAATTTGTGGGAGTTGATTCTCTCTGTCCACCATCTGGGATCTAGAGATGAACTCAGTTGTCAGGCTTGGTGGCAGGTCCCTCTACCTGCTGAGTCATTTGCCAGCCACCCTCAGACTGTTCTTTCAGAGATGCTGTGTGTCCTGTTTCTTGAAATTAGCTTCTTTGGGAAAAGAGACAGGAAAGGAAAAGTAAGAGCATACAATGCATAAACTATCTTTCTTGACAAAGGTTCATGTCATACTTTTGGTTTGTTACATAACTCCATTCCGAGAGTTAGAACGTCACCCTAGGACTAGAACGTGGCTCAGTGAGTAGAGCTGACGGTTTGAGCTTGGATCCCCAGAACCCACAAAATAACTCAAACGTCCGTAATCCCTGCACCCCTGCGAGAAGATAGGAGGAAGGACGAGGGACTCCCCGCAGCCAGCCTGGCTTACACAGTGGAAACCACCGAAGAGACCCTGAAACAGCGTGTACTCTGTCACTTACAATGTCATGAGCTAATATCATGGAAAAGTACAAAATGGACTAGAGCTCAGAGGCTGTTAATTCCCGCTCCGTGGTGAAGTTGATTATCATGGCCCGTGTTACTAGTGTAACCTGCCTGGGAAACATTACAGCCCCCCCTTTCCCTTTGTCTTCATTGGTCCTTATCCGTTTATGTAAATTTGTAGGAAGACAGAAAGATGCTTTGAGTTCTGTATAGAGGGGGCTCTAATTTTAAAGAACCTTTTAATATACACGGATTTAAGTATTTTCTACTACCTGCATTCTAGACTTCTGATCATTTGGAGAGTATAGTCTATTCTTGGTGTCTCTGTAGGTGGGGTTATGACACCATAAATAAGAGAGATGATTTCGTATTGCTTTGAAATGGAAATGGGGAGGAGACAGAAAGGGCAGGTCAGAGAGGGGAAGGAGAAGGGGAGAGATGAGATAAAGGAAGTCTGGCCAGCCTGGTCTAGCTGGCTGCTGTCAACTTCAGTAGAGTGTTAAAAATAGCTACAGGTAGCTAATTGTCATCAGAGGGAGGTCTAGCCTCTGACTGCACGTTCCCATTCTCCCTAGCATGAGCTCTCCATTCCTACCTGTGCCAGTTTTCTCTATTTCTCTTCTGTGAGGACAGACGCCACAGTGGCTTGGCCCTTTTCCCTTTATTCAAATCCCTTCAGAGGAAAACAATCCTGCTCAGTCTGAAGATAAAGGTTACTTTGGGTACCATAGAAATCACTCACTTTGCTTTTGCCAATGCTAGCCAGAGAGTACTGTCTGATTTTTCCAAGATACCCTGTTTCTGAGGTGGACATTTAACTACCCATCGATGGCATCCTTAGGAGGCATTTAGAGTGGTGATGGTGGTTGCTTCATATGTTTGCAGTTCATGTTTGAAGTGCTGCTGTATGGTACAAGTAACTCGTTAAATGTGACAGATTTCTACATCGGTGGCCCTGCTGCTAATTTGTTATTTTCTTTTTTCATGGGCAAAGGGTGATCATGGAGATAAAGGAGACTCTGGAGCTCTGGGACCACGGGTGAGCATTCCTCTTGTTTAAACTCAGATTTGAGGTCATGTTGGTGTGACTGTGAGAGGCATCTGAATGGACAGTATATAATCAAAGCCATTAGTGGTAGACTGGGATTATTCCCACTGCTAGCCTTCTCCTTGCTCTTTATTTTGTTATCCAAGATCAGGTCATGTAGAGATTCTTACCATATAATAAACTTTATTCTGGAAAAAAAAAAAAAGCAGTATGAAGCCCATAGCTGTTAAGGTAACAGTCCATATGTTTATACTCTTTAGAAAAGTCAAAAAACTAGAACACAGGTCATAGAGATTGTGCAACAGATATAATGAGTAAGATAAAAGTCTAGACTCTGTAGAGAGAGATGTGTGTGTTCTAGTAATCTTGATTGGGGGATGTGTATTTGTGGGTGTATAATATTCTTGTCTTCCATTTCCTCTAGTTTTGGATAAGTTGGGGCATATGGGATAAGATTTTTTTTTTTTTGGTTTTTTGAGACAGGGTTTCTCTGTGTAGCTTTGCGCATTTCCTGGAACTTGCTTTGTAGACCAGGCTAGCCTTGAACTCACAGAGATCCGCCTGGCTCTGCCTCCCGAGTGCTGGGATTAAAGGCGTGCACCACCACCGCCCGGCTGGGATAAGATTCTTATTGGGGATGCCAAATATTTCCTACAGAACATTGTTCATCATTGCTCTCTCTTCTTAGGGAATGAGGAAGCAACCTATGATACACAGATGAGCAGAAAGAGGTTAGGGGTTGCCTTAACAAATGCAAAGGAAGTCAATAGTATTTTGCAAGACACAAAGATGTGTGTGTTTGGAGCCAGCTTCACATCTACCACAGACAGAAAGTTAGAAGTGGCCATCTCCTTTACAATATGGAAAACATTTAAACATAATTATTACTCTGAAATGCACTTGCGTCATAGTAAGGACATAACAGGCAGGGAGGACTCTACCTGTGCCGCCGCCATCTTGTAGACTAGTCATCTGACACTCATGACTTTGCCTTGGTCTGTTTTTTGTCACAGGGTCCACCTGGGCAAAAGGGAGATCCAGGAGCTACTGAGATCATAGACTACAATGGCAACCTCCACGAGGCCTTACAGGCAAGTGACCGTTCTCTGCCCTAGGACACATGGAGAATGACACACACAGATAAGCGTGTCGGTCTTCTATGGCTGTGATAAAATACCAGGAGCAAAAGCAACTTAGGGAAGAAAGAGTTTATCTTAGCTTATGGTTCCAAAATGCTGGAGTTCACAATGGCATCAAGGCATGGCATCAGGAGCAGGAAGCTGAGCACTCACATCTGCAAACATGAGGTAGAGAGCTAACTAGATGTGGAGTGAGGTGATGAATTCTCAAAGCCTGCCCAGTGATGGCCTTCCTCCAGCAAGGCTGCAGCACCTCCCCACACAGAATCACCAGCTGGAGACTAAGTGTGCAAACGCCCGAGCCTGGCGGACATTCTGATTCACACCACCACAATGGGTGCCTGTCACTCAGAGGATGAGTTCTCTTCACCACTCACATGAAGCACGTCTATTCGCTTCTCTTCCGAGCCCTCCTGTCTCCTGCCCCAGGAAGCTTTAATTTATAGCATTTAAAATTCCTGATTTTTTGTTTCCCTTATACTTCCTAAACCTTATCAAGTATAAACATAGTGTTAGTTTAGGCAAATTGTTGCTTCCTTGCTCTAATAGGGGATTTTACAAAGCTGAGCAGGAACTGCTTGAGTTCTGATTTCAATTGTCGTCTTTAACTAGAGACGTGACCTGGCCAGGTCTTTCACTTCTGTGTGCCTCTATTTCTCCATATTTGAAATGAAGATGCGAGCAGTATCTACCTCTTTGGGTCGTTGATAGCAAATGGCTAAGTATATGACATACACTTTGCACAGACAGTCCTTGGTGCATACTGACCTTCTATGTGTTTTTGTTTCAGTTTCTTTCTTTTCAGTGAAAAGTAGTTCACGAAATAATGCACGTGGTTTGCTCTACCACCCTTGCTTCTTAGTCATCTTTTCCATGTTTACACATGCGCGTTGTAGTATCTATCGTCACCCAGTGGTGACCTGCAGGGAAAGTCCATAATAATCATCACCCTGGACTTGCCTGTGACATTTATAGCAAATCACCTTCCTTCCGAAAATCTTTGTGCTTCATCTGGCCTTCCGCTTTCGTCTCCTCCATTCTTTCCCTCTAGTGAAGCCATTCTGTTTTGGTATTCCACATCTTCCATCCATGCTAACTTCTTTGCTAGCCTAAAGTCTCTGACCTTTCCTTAGGCAGAACAGTTGCTCCCTCTGGGTTGTAAGCAAGTGGTTTCCTGACAGTTCGGCCATTTCTGGGGTCTAGCCTGTGTGCAGCTCCACCTGTTTGGAAGAGCCCCTCCATGGCCATGTGTTTTTCTTGCTGACTTCCACAAACACACCGAGTTCTCCTGGGTACTTTTCCCACCTGCTAGAGGACTCACCTGATCAACTAACTGCTAGCGATTGATGATCTCATGTTCCTTCCTTTCGCTCGAGACAGAAGGTTTAGAAGCTTCTTACAACTGTTCTTAGTCCTTCTTACAGTCTCACACCAGGAGCTCTCTCAAAACACACCTCAGCACTACTCATTCTGTCCATTCCCAAATACTGGTCCACAGCCTGTTTATTTCTTGTCTAACCCTGTCCCAATCCCGTGGCCAATTCTGCCTCCCTGGTGTTGCCTGGACCTTCTAACGTAACCAGTATTTGTCTCTAAGGCTGATTTTTCATAAGCTGTCATTACTTTGATTGTTCTAATTTGCTCAGATCTCTTCGTGAGTCCTTGTCTACTCAATCAAGACCAAATTCCTCCAGCTGACATCAGTTAAGTCTCTACAGTACTATCTTTTCTGCCAAGGTATTTTTTTCATTTCCTATGACATAGTCATTTTTACCATATCCCTACAAATCTCTTTTGCCTAGGCTCATCCCATTATTTTTCCTTTCTTTTGTTCACTGAATCTGATCCATAAATTCACTGCTCTCACCAGCTGAGTTCTTCCTCAAAGTCTACACATGAGAAGTCAGGGGCCAATACTGTAACATATGATTACTCTCTAATCACATAATTGGTTTTAGTTTTTCCATGACCATATTGTAAGTTTCTTAGTAACAGAAAATATGCCTTATGTCTACATTGCCTGGGCCTGTAAATGTGCAATGAACAGTTAGTATTTAGTGGTTGGATGAGTGACTGTACTTCTTATGTACAAGCCATTTCTTGGCTTAAAAACAAACCAGATGCTTAAAGTCTCTCTATTTTATACCTATTCTAATATTTCTGTCCTCATGATTTCACCACTGTGGTCTAATTTTCATAGACCTATACATTTATGTGGTCTTCACTACCACTACTAGCCTTTTTTATTTCTATGTTTCCTATTTGGACAAATGTGGATTGGATAGTATATTCAGCCAACTGCCTGATTTAGCCTTCCTCATTACAAGCGGCTTAAACATAAACAGTAACCTTGGGGTTATGGTCAAATTCTTGAGCCAATTGTCTAAATGTTTCCCTTTCCCCCTACAAGTTGATAATTATATATGGAGGGTCAGAGACAAGGAACAGGCAGGTTTTTTGGACCTACAGTGTTTTCAAAATTCTTGCACAGTAAAACAGGGACAGCTCTTAAACTTTATTAGCAATGTTATACATTTCCCTTAAATTGCTTCCAGTTGCCCTATGGGCCTTGTCTCTGCCTGTAAACAGTGTTCCAGTTACTTTCTGTGTTGTGTAGACTACCTGACCAAAAAAAAAACCAACTTAGTGGGGCCTTTTAGTGGGATAGTGTCCATCACGGTAGAACAGACATGTGAAAGGCAGTGAAGGTCTGGAAGCAAAATAGGGGGGTGGCTGTTTACACTGTGTCCATACACAGGAAGCAGAGAGAGAGCAGGGATGGGATGGGCTATAAACCCTCAAAGCCCACCTCTAGTCTTGTACTTCTTCCAGAAAGGCTCCACCTCCTAAAGGTTCTATGACCTTCCCAAACAGTGCCACCAGCTGGGGACCAAGCATTCAAATGCACGGGGGACATTTCTCATCCAAATTATCACAAGGGGTGCCCACTCTCTACTCTTCCAAGAAATGCTCCCATATTACTGGCATTTTCTGCAAAGTTTTGAAGTGTTTTTAAAACATTCTTTGCATGAACAAGCATATGGGCTATGCTTATACTGAAGTGGACATTTCTGTTCCATTCTCCCCTCTACCAGTGAGGAGCACGGTCATTTTAGGGAAATCACTATCTATGCTTCACTGACCTTGTCTACAAAATGGAGTAGATGTTTTTGTTTGAGCTCATAAAATACAGTGTTATCCTTAGGGTGGTTTTTAGGCACTCATGAACACTTTACTGGAGTTCCTGAAAGTAATGTACTTTTTGGAAAATAAATCTGGTAGCTGTTCCTTGAAATGAAAGGATACACACTTCCAGTTTCTTTTTTTTCCATCTCAAGCTCTACATGACTGTAAATAGTATCCAGTTAATATCCATCATAGTCAATGATTTTATACTGTCTCCAAACCTAATGATATATTCCCATTGGGTCAACCATATGCCACGTTTATAAAGAGCTTAGAGTCATTTTTCAGTTGAAGGCATTTGTTCATCCTCCTCCTGACATCATACTCTGGTGGATTAAATGTCCCTAATAAGATCAATCAATTAAGTCAGAAAGGCATTAGAGGAAGAATAGCTGGTATTTCTTCTCCTCAATCTCTAACCAGTGATAGATGATGCTTATTTCATCATTGTGTCCTTTAAAAAACATTGTATCTAACACTCTAGAATGACTACATGGATATGAATATATTACATTAGAACTATGTTTTATAAAATAGTTCAGATTATGAAAAAAACATCAAAAGTAGTTTATGTAACTTCTCTGTATCCATTATCCAGTATGGGAGATAAAATAGTTGAAGTACTATGCATATTACCTAACTAAGATATTTGTCATTCTGGTTATGGTATTTATAATTTTCATCCATTCATTTATAGTTAAATGAGCAACAAAATTTAAAATCATATAACAAAACTGCTGATTATATCCTTTTGACTAGAGCTGAAGTTATGGAGCAAAATAAAAACCTAACACAGCTCATTATTTTTCTTTTTGTTACCAAGCAACATAAAAAGGAATTTATCTCAACTCCTCTGATCCATCTTTTCTCCCTGTCCAGCATTCTTCCAGACCTCCCAGTCTTGACTTCCCCACAGTGAAATGATCCCAAGTAACCACACAGAGAATTAATATTAATTATAAATGCTTGGCCAATAGCTTGTTACTAACTAGTTCTTACAACTTTGACCCATATTTCTATCTATATTCTACCACATGGCTCTGTACCTAATCTCAGTACGGCATACTTATCTCCTCCTTCCTCTGTGTCTTGCTTGAGACTCCTGAGACTCCGTCCTTCGTCTTTCCAGCATCCTCCTAGTCTGGCTCTCCCACCCAATCTGTTCCTGCTCAGCTATAGGCCAGTCAGCTCTTTGTAAATATGTATGACTCTCATTGGTTAATAGTGTACAAAGACTGTTCCACAGCAGGGGTGTGTCCCTGGGGAATACTAATTTTTTCTCTCTTGGAAGTTATTAATTGCTTGCCTCATCTAGGAGGGGAGGGTGCTGGGATATTTCTCCCTTCTACAATGGGATGTCAACTATTGGAATTGCTCAGGTCTTGTTGTGGCAGCCATGCTGTTGACATTTTACAGATGCAGCTTCCCTGTCATAACTAGAAGAAACAGTTTCACAGAAGACTTCCTCTGGCTCTTAGAATCTTTCTGTTCCCTCTTCCCAGAAGTTTGCTAAGTCTTAAGGTGAAAGAGTTGTGTTGTGCATGTATCAATTGGGACAGGGCCCCCATCATGGTTAGTTGCTCTCTGCAATTTGATGAGTTGTGGCTTTCTGTAATGGTCTCCTCCTTCAGTAAAAAGGAGCATAAGCACCCATCATTATGAAAAGTGAAGAAGAATAACCTATAACTTGGGTAGGATTTTCACATAAACATCTCAAAATGAATCATAAAGCACAAGATTGACTTTTGCTGCTAGCTCCCACCTCCCATCTCATATCATGTCTCACTGGAATTTCGTGTCGTTCCCCATCACTTCCAAACATTCTGGTTTTCAAACCGTTACTGGCCTTCACGAGGGAGCCCTGCTGGGATGATATAGCTTCAGCGTTGAAGAGCCAACATTGTAGGATGACTCTGGGAACTGTACATGCCTGCTTCCAGGTGGAGGTCAAGGTGGTGTGCTGGTGAACTTAGCTGGCTTTGGTGACACTTGCTCCCTTCTGAGCTACAGTGGAACCTTCCCAATTTTGAGGTCTCTCAAACAGTTATTAGTACATCATTTCAACTTCTTCTATTGGTTTAATTACCACTAATGATATTCTTTCATTATGCAGCTCATTATTTTAAAAAAAAATGTTGTTAGCATTAACATTTTTAAGAAAAAGGACAAACAAGAAGTGTTTATTTATGTAAGGATGTGAATTTATATATATTTGACCTTGTTAGAAAATCTGAGAGAATTCAAATTGTAAAACTGCTTACCTTCATAGAATTTTGTAATTCTGCTTTCTAGTTAAAAATGCAACACATGATTGAAGGACAATAGTGAAGAAATTCTTTTTACTCTATAATTTCCTTGTTTTAGTAAATGACTCATTTACATCCTAGGAACAGAACAGTTTTCTCATGGCTGTAAATCCAGTTGTTGTGTCTAGGGAAACCTCTTTAAAATAGTGTAAGCATTACCTTGTATTGTGTAGGTCTGATGACATAAAATTCTGGGTATGTATAAGAACTTGCTCTTAGTTTATTGAGATTTTTCACCTTTGTCTCAGAAACATCCGACTTGTTTATTGCATTATCTGAAGCTATAATCACATTGACTGCTTTTATCATGCAATACAAACTTGGATCATTAACACATGTATAAGCATAGTGTTTTCTAAAGGACATTAGTAACTATGTCAGTAAAGAATTATCGAAGTATTTAAAATGAAATAGATAATGTTAAGATTAATTTTTACAACAACAATAATAAAAATGGCAACAAAGGTTTGAATCAGAGATTGGAATGGAGTGATGGTACACCGAGGGGTGGTATTAAAACCATACCCTCAAGTTCACATATAATCAGACAATGCCTCTTATAACCAAAAGTCCTGAATGACAAATGACTCCTTTCTATTGTTTCAATAAGCCATGTAGAGCTCTTAGCACAAGATGTAAACTACAAACTATTAGATGCACAAACGTAATCACAGAATAGGAATCATGCTGTGGAAACCCATGCTTTGAGACAATATATTCTGTTAAAATATTTAGCATGTCAACAAACTAGGTAAGTTCAATGTCAGTTTCTTTGATTATAGCACATAGCGGGGGTCAATTATAATGTAAAAAATGAACTACAGAGTAAGAGAAGAAAGATATTTCACTCTTCCCTAATCAAAATCTAGAATGGAGCTTTTTATCAATAGCAAATTTCACAATTCACAATTAGGCTGACCAACCTTTAGCATACAGGTACTTAACTATATAATTTTTTTAATTATGTGAGTTTTAAAAATCAGGCATATGGAAAATTTTATGCGTTGTTTTCTTATAATTTTTAAAATAAAATTCTAAAAATCTTTCCCAACCCTTGACAAGTATGCAGTATTGAGATAGGCTAGTGTGTTTGCTGTAGCTCTCTGTGACTTAAAAGACATCTGGCTTGACAACATATACTTTAGAAGTGGATTTTTTCGGAAGTCTGTTGCTTGGTTTTGACACAGAATAGGTAACTCTTGTCTCTGTCGATCCATTTCCCAACAGAGGATCACCACCTTAACTGTCACGGTAACTCCTTTTGCATGATCTCTGTGGTCTGTGGCTTTGAGTTCAGTATGGATGCATGCAGGGCAAGACTGGACTAATGTAGCAGTGGGTTTTTATCGGGCGTTTACTTTATGTTTATGTTATTAACCTTTTAAGACATTTGACCTCATTAAATTACTATCTGTTCTATGGGAAAGTCCAGAAAAAGTTATTACTTTTTTTTTTAAAAAGACTTTAGCCTCTGGTTAATAAGATAGCTTTATCTTTTGTGGCTTAGAAATCAAAGCCTTGCTAGAGCATTGTGTGGCACACCTTTAAGCCCAAGACTCTCAAGGCAGTGACAGGTTGATCTCTGTAAGTTTGAAGCTAGCCTGGTCTACATAGCAAGTTCCAGGACAGCCAGGACTACATAGAGAGACCCCGTCTCGAGAGAGGAGGGGGAGGGAGAGAGGGAGGAAGGGAGAGAGGAGAGAAAGATAGAAAGAGAAGGAAGAAAAAGAAAAGGAAAGAAAGAAGGAAGGAGAGAGAGAAGAAATCAAAGCCTGTGAAGTAGATGACTGAGAAGGAAGGGTTACAACAGTCAGGTCATTTATCACAAGAAGATGTATGCAGAAGAGGAGGCAGCAATTGTCAACTGTCTTACCGAATCCAAAGCTGCTTCTGTAACATGGTGACTTGAAGAGCGTACTGAGAGTTCTCTTCAGTACTCAGAGTGGGAGTCTGATTTATCATTATGTAACTGATGAAATAGTGTCCCATTGAAAATCAATATCTAGAAATATCTAATTATGATAGAAACGTGCGGTGTGCTTGTTAGTTCTAAAGCCTGAAATTTTAACATGTCTACTTGGTATGTTTTACAACGTGTCTTCTCTTGCTTCAGGGCCCCCCTGGACCTCCTGGACCTCAAGGACTACAAGGGCCAAAGGTTATCCTTCCTTCCTTGCTTCCCTTTACCTCCTACAGTGCAGAGATGCCATGTTGAGAGTATATGTCCTTAGAAAACAGTTCTTACAAAGTGCTAGAGAAGCGAGGCCAGAAACAGTGGTTTAGAGGACGAGGAAACAGCATTGGAGTCTCAGCTAAAGGAAGAAAGGAAATGAGGAAAGAGGGGAGAGAAATGGAGGGAGACAAATTTAGGAAAGGACACTGAGAAAAGTACAGAGAATTAAACAAGGGAAGTACAAGCTTCACAGAAATTATAAATGCAAAGAGACGCTCAGCATGGCTTATGGGAAAAGGTAATATTCAAACAAATGAGGATTGAAGGGAGTTTACTCTTGCCCCTAAGAAAGACCCTTTTTTTTTTTTCAATTCTTTTGTAAGGGGAGAACAAGGAGAACCTTCCTATAATGCATTCATAAATGACTGACAGGTTCAGGAGCCATTCTCAAGACCTGTTTTACATGCCTTCTCTTTATCACACGTTCAGACTTTCTGCCGTGTGCTTTATCAAATGAAGCCTACTCCCCACAAACAGCACAATCCAAAATTTCCTTGATTGTACATCAGCTTTGCTAGTGGTGGTAGCTTTACCCCCCAAACTAAAGCCCCATCATCCAACCATGTTTGAGCAATTAACACATGTCCAGGAATTCTGGCTTTTCAGAACTGAGCTACACGTGTTGAAATACGACTTTCGTCATTGGATTCTTGTAGGAGATTCAAGTGGTTTCAAAATTCATTTTTTATTTATGCTTCTTAAGTTGGTTTATTTGCTGTGCCTAGCATACATACACACACATTCGTGCACACATCAGCTTTTGTACTCTCTCTGGATACTTAAAAATAAATGTCCAGTGTATAGAGATTTATTTCTCTATTAAAAGACTATAAAATAAAATATTACTGAGGTTATTGTCTTTTTTAGTTGTATTCAGGGCATAGATCCTAATTACCAAAATATTTTTTGTGTAACATAAACATGTTCCACATATTAATGTATGATATGGAACTTAACTAGTTTTCCACAGAGTCTTGTCCCTGAAAGCGTAGCACCAAATACACTGGACTTGTCTCTGATGACCAGTCTTCCTGGTCCCTCTCCTCTTAACAGTTTGATGATCTGGGCTAGACATAGAAGGAACTTTGGAGATTCTCTCCTCCTTTGTGTAGTGTCAATCCAGATGAGATTTCTTGCTTCATCTCCTCTCATAACTAGAATTTTCTCCAAAGCTAAATAAATACATTTCCCCCAAAGCTCAAAGGTTTCTGTGATTTCTCCACAGCTCTGAGGCCTAGAAAAGGCATCCATGCTTTGATCTAAAGAAATAAAAAGGGTTACCCAGCTAAAAAAGGCTCTCACTGAACTGCCATCTCTTCTTTTATAATCACTTGTTAATTCCATTGTCCAGGAGGTAAAATGAGCCTTCACTCTCTGGTATGGTTTTGAATCTGCAAAGATGCCAGTAAGAGGTTTTACTAGGAACTTAGAACCCAGGGTCTGAGACAGGCACCTAATGGCATGATCACTAGTAGAGTAAGTGCTCTGAGGTGGATGTAGATGAGGGCTAGGATGTGATGGCTCAGTGGTTAAGAGCATTGGTTGCTCTTCTAGAGAACCCGGATTCCATTCCCAGCACCCATACGGTGGCTCGCAACCATCTATAACTCCAGTCTGAGGATCTGACGCTCTCTTCTGGCCTCTGAGAGCACCAGGCACACACATGGCACAAAGACATCCATGCAGGCAAAATACACATAAAAATAAATCTTTTTCAAAAGGAGTGTGTGGGCTGGATATGCATAGGACTGCCTCTCTAGGTCTGGAAGTCCAAGATGGGTTTGAGTTGAAACTGAAGAAAGGCAGAGGGGTGGTAACCATATGGAAATCTGAACATGTGGCGGCAGAGAGGCGTCAAATCCCTCCTCACTACCTGCCACTTCCCCATCCTGTCCACCATCCTGACCCCTTCAGCCCACCCATCCCGGTGACTAATACCGTGTTGTATGACAAGCCTTTATACTTCCCAGGATCCTTCTTGAGAAATCTTGAGAAAGTTGGGATCATTGAGGTGGGTATGTCTGTCACTGTGAGACAGCACAGCTTCTCCCGAGGCCAGAATAGGACAGACACATTTCCCAGCTCTGGACTCACTGCCTCAGACTGACGGCAGTCTGTTCACTTGGTATTTCTCCTTCCAGTGTCAAATAAGAGGGATTTTAATTTTTTACACATCAAACAACTCTTACTAACCATATTTGAGTGATGGAGGATCTATGAATCTTGTTCTTTCAGCCTCCCTGGTCCACATTTGTAAAGGTAACAGTTCAGCAAAGCTATGGTGATTGGACTAGAGTGTTGACAGGTATCCAGACTCAGAATGAAGCTGGGGCTCAGCCGGGTGCATCCAACCTCAACAGAAATTGTTTGTGGCAAAATAAACTTTGCTACTGCTGCAAAGAACCGGAAATCTGAAATGAGGAAAGGCCTTTTTTATTTCATTGGTTTGAAACCACAAGATCCTGCCTTCCTTAAACACTGGGAAAGCTCGGGTTTCAGACTGTGGCCTACAGCTCTTAAAGTTTTTTACCAGGAAAGGGAGTTCTAGCGGATGGAGCATTGTGGTTTATACTATCGCCAAAAACCCTTCCTAGAAAACACAGCCTCAGGACTGTACCTGGAAAAACCCCTCTGTGAGCGGCTTGCTCATACCCAGACAGTCTTCACACTTCGCACAGGGTAGAAATTGGGGCTTATAACAGCATCCATACAGACAGTTTGGTGGTATAAAACCACGCCTTACCTTTCAAAGGATTTTTGTTCAGTTATCATTCAAATCTGAAAGATGACTAAACATGTATTATTTAAATAATGTCTAGCACGCTGTTTAGATTTGTTTTAAATTAAACATCTTCCATTAAAAAAATAAATCTCTGTATTCTGATTTTGTCAAACATTCTAATAAATCATAATATTAAAAGTCTGTTTATTTCATTTCTAGCATAGTATAGGAAATGGAATGGGTCTGAAAGTTACCTCATGTGGATTGAGATACCTGATTTATTAGATCCTCCAATGGGGCTTTTCTGGGCAGGGCACACTCACAGCCATTATGAAAGTTTCACATTGTGCCAGTTAGAATATTCTATACATTTACCAAACTTTGCCTTTTATTCTCTCTTAGTCAACTATTATGTTTTGATTGTTACTGAAAATTAGACAGTCTGTACTGATTCCTTCCTTATGGGAAAAGAGACTTAGCAAAGCCATAGAAGCATTGCTATAGGATGTGGTCAGCCATTAAATTGTGTATGACCAACGGAAGAAAAATAAAAACAGTGGGTATTTGCTACATATGGATATTATTACACACATTTCTCAAGAAAGATCATCCCTTCACTTAGCTTCAAGATATGTACTGGACCAGCATATTCTTGGGTTAAAATGTATTTGCTAAAAGTCAAACTGTACTTTTACCAACTAGCATGGTTTCTGTAGCAATCATAAATGCAGGCAAGTTCTTGCTTTTTATTTTGTCAGGGTGAGCAAGGATCTCCAGGAATTCCCGGAGTTGATGGAGAACAGGTAATTTTCAAAGCTATATACCATTATTTAAAGCACCACTATCGATCACTGCTTTTATGATAGGTTTAAAGCCGAAAGTCATGTCTTTTGATAGATGATGCATCCTCTTTTTTTCCATTCCACTTGAAATCTAAAAATGCAATTAGTTTTAAATTAGATATAAATTTTGTTGTAGAAATGTAAAGCTATATGTTTCTTAGTTTTGTACTTGATACTACTAACCTGTCAGTCTACCTCAACACATTCTAATAGACTCTGAAATCATTACATTAGTAAGAATAGCTTGGGGTTTGGGTTTGGTTTTCAATTCAATATCAAAATCAGTGGCCATGGTTTTCATGATTAATAGCATTGCTTATCTACAGTCATTTGATAATGTCTCTTTTTTGTGTATAATGAGTTCCCCTGATTTTCTAAATCTTTTGAAAACTCAGACAAAAAGTGAAGCACGGTAAGCTTGCACACGATAGCAGTATCTTTCAGAGTGTCCTCAACATAGAAACTGATAAAATTTCTCTAAAATTCTGATGGAAATACTTTAGACTTTGTGGGTACATATGGTCTCTTTCGTGTATCCTTTTCTTTAAACATGTCTTACTTTTTTTTTTAATTCAACATAAATAAAAACAGTCCCTAGGCTGGACTTGGCATGTCTGCTGTGGCTTGGCAACCCCCACCTTTTAAGAATTTTACTAAGAGAATGCAGACAGCATTAGGAATCAAACCACAAGGATCAGTTTCAAAATCTTTGAGGTTACATGGACTTCAACTATTTTCTCAAGAACTGGCTCAAGGGATGGAAAGGTGGCTTATTGGTTGAAAGCATGTGTTGCTCTTGCAGAAGACATGGGTTTGGTTCCCCGCATCCACACCAGGCAGCTCATAACCGCCTGTCACTCCGATTCCAGGGTGTCAGATGCCCCCATCTGGCTCCACAGGTACCCGCACACATGTGGTGCACATCACCATATTCAGGCCCACACACAGAATAAAAGAAAAAGGTAGTTGAATATATTTAAGACATAGCTTGAATTAATAAGAAGTCAGTGGAATTTTTGATGTCCTAAGTCAACCATATACTCTTCAGGAGAAAGTATTAGACAAAAAAAATACTTAGGAGAAGAGTTATTTTTAATAACAGAGTTGGATATTGCAGTCACATAATGTCACATTAAACAAATATTATAGAAAGATAATTTAGTCAATTTTCCATGCCAATCAGAGATCACATTAATGATAACCTTTCCCCATTGTTAGTAATTAAAGATAACAAATTAGACTTGTACAGTGGCATACTGAATGTGCCTAAATATTCAATATATACAGTAGCTGGATGTTTTTTCAATAGTCTTTGCAAGGTCCTGTTCTCCTACTCAGCCTGTTGAATTGGCCTTGTTGCTTTTCCCTGTCACAGGATCCCTAAAACCAACTGACCTTGCTGATTAACCAGAAAGATAAATTTATCTTTGCTGGTACTTTCCCACTCCCCCAGTAAGTGATTCTGAACTCAGTATAAAGATAGTTAACAAATTAATATGTGTTCTTGTCCCTAAGATGAACAGGTCTGTGCAGCTTGTGAATCCCCTACCATGGTAACCATAACCATCTGCTCATGTTGCCACAAGGTTGCTAGGATGAAAATGCTGAAAAATATTAATTAATTTCAATGTTAGTGTTCCATAACTCACATTTGTTAGCATTCAAAACCCACACATCTATTTTCTCATTCTAAAAGAATAGTAATTGCATTTGGTTCACCATGTAGCAATGTCATGAGAACCAACAGGAACACTGAACAAGTTGAGTGTTTTAAAGCATTGATTGAACATTGGTGCTGGAAACTGATGACAGCTAGATCTTATACACACAATGAAGAGGAAGGAATGGCTGTGTGGACTTGGATCTTTGCTATTATAACGCTAAGTCCTGGTTCAAATATTTTCTGGACTGTTAAGAATTACGGTCATTACATTGTCTTCTGGACTGGTAGGATGCAGTTAGTTGCCAAGCAGATTTAGGAAACCAGGAGAAATAATGCCAAACCCTGAGTTCATGGTTTTTGTATTTAAATGGTCTATAGAACTTAATCCTATTACATGGGGAAATATTATTGATCCAATGCAGAAGGCTGTAAAAAGAAAATACCTGAAAACAAAACTCATAGTCATCTCCGCTTGCGGCCACCTCTTGGCAGATTTATCTGGAATCCCATTAACTGTAGGATGTGCCTATCAGGTTGTCACTGTGCTTCTCACATGCCAACTCTATCACTTGTAGGGACTCAAAGGCTCAAAGGGAGATGTGGGGGACCCAGGTATGCCAGGTGAAAAAGGAGGAATTGGCCTTCCTGGACTCCCGGTACGTTCACACTCTATGACGTGCTCTTACTAAAATAAGTGACTAGAAAAGAAATATATTCTCAACTGTACTCTCAACCAGTGGTTTCCAACTGTCTTTATTTTTGAAATAATTTGAAGTATTGTTGTTTAGTTTTTTTCCAAGTGAGACACTAAAATTTTAAAGTATAGCCAAATCAATTTAAAAGTAAGTGTTTGGTTTATTTTTCCTGGATTGTTTTCTTTAGAAGATAATAAAGAAAATAGAATTGGCCATTTGAATTTAATATGTATAGTCAAGTAATTATCATAAAGTAAGCCACAATAAAGAAATAAATTATCACAAAACTTTAGAACCATTGTAGAACAGATTAGTCTGTGTGTCTATACTTTGGGTGGTGCTTATTCCCCCTGAGTTACTGTTTCTCAGAAACTTTGGAAGGGAAAATACAGAAATTATGAGAAAAAAAGTAGAGGAACTTCCTCCCACCCCCCTCCCACCCTACACCAGGTACTGGAGATTGCACCTAGGACCCATACATGCCAGGCACACACTCTACCACTGAGCTGTATCTCAGATCCTTTTGTTTTAACTTTCCATGTTAAAAAGTTGTGCAAGCTGGCTTGAACACACTCTGAAACATAGGCTGGCCTTGAATGTTTGCTCTCTGCCTCAGTCTCCCAAGTAGCCAAGATCTCAGGCCCGTGCCACCAGGCCTGGATCTTTTACGTGTTTTTAAAGAAGCAACTATAAATGTCAGTGGGACTAAAGTCTCACCTTTGCTATTTAAAGTGAGCACACCGTAAAAAAATAACATTTGTAATCCAGTGTATTTCAAACTGTGAAATCAGGCTCAGTCTAGTTTCTATTTACTTTGTATTTTGCTGTATATAACACCCATAATCCTAGGGGTTTTAGTAAATTTACTGCTTTGGACTAAAAATAGATGGAGATAAAACTTGTTATGTATTATGTGCATAATATAAAAATTCAAGGCAGTCAAAGTTCAGTTGTCTGTTAGACCTTGGAAATAATGTTCCTGCTAAATCTGCTTCCTGGTTATTTGTAGGGTGCCAATGGAGTGAAAGGAGAGAAAGGAGACTCTGGGTTGCCAGGTCCTCAGGGTCCTTCTGTAAGTTCATGGGGCTGACTCTTCACACGGGACTATTATTTGCCTAGATCCGCCTGTGCCAGATGGCTAATCTGTAATAGAAATACAGTCACCCACTTGGTGGATCAAACTATACATGATATATGTTAGTCTTGTACCATGAGAGACAGCGTATCTCAGAAGTTTGAGTTGGAAGCAATTGTGCAGAGCTCTGGGGAGAAAAATCAATGGATTTCCCATAATCCTTCTAGGGAAAGCCTAGTGAAATAAGAACTTGCATTCTCTTTCTCTCCAGAGTCCTATTTGTGCTTAGTGAAATAACGGAGGGTTTAATAGTGGTTGCAGCATTATAGAATGTCTCGATAATCAGTTGCTTCCTTTTCTTTTAATATAATTTTGATTTACTCTGGGTTTTTGTAGAACAACTGTAGTGTTTGAAGTTATTTGATTCTCATAGAGGAATTGCTAAAGCCAGGGAATCAAGCACAGCACTCCTCACCATGTCCTCTTTCCTCTGTGACTGCTGATGCCATTAGCAGAGCCCTAGAACAAGACCCCTGCTCTACTGCCTTATCTAAATGAAGTAACCACACCCATGTTTATTTTTTGGACATACAGATCATAGGCCCCCCAGGCCCTCCAGGTCCCCATGGCCCGCCTGGCCCCATGGTAAGTTTCCTTCTCCCTGAAAGGTAATCATTTATCTATCATGTGCTACTAGGGAAAAGATGAACACAGACAGTGTTTGTTTTGTACTGCTCTCTGGGGAATGAACAGAAAAAGTGAGGTGTTCTGCCTACTTCACAGTGCTGCCTTTCATTCCCCTAAACACGTGCATTAGAAAGACGTAGAGCCGAGGAGAGACAGATCTGGCAAGCTTTACTCCAAGGGGCCATGAACACCGGCAAATCATCTAACCCTCTCACTGCTGTAGGCTGTTAGTAGCTAGTTACGGTGATTATCAAGCCAGTGAAGAGGGTTTCTAAGCAGCTTTGAAGCTTGAGACCCCTCCCTGAATTATCCAATGAGAACCTGTGTAAAACAGTGTGATTCAAGGCTGAGGCTGGCTCCCACAGATGATGGAGTGTTGGATCTTTCTCCTTCCGTGTCAATGGCTCTTCTGGTGATTCATGGATCCGGGCCATGCTTGCTGCGGTTGTCTCCCCATGAGCAATGGAGACAGCATTCCTGACTCCATAGAACTGCCAGCGGGGAAGGCAGCCCTGAAGCAAGCGCGGTTCTCTAACTGCTGGGGTGCCTGCCGACAGTTGTGCTTCGGCTCGGATGTGGACGGCAGAGGGCTTCAGGGGCCTTTGACACAGCAAGGAACAAGGCAGGAAGGATATAGAGTTACACTCATCTCTCGGGTGTCTTCATAAACCGGAAGACGTCAATAACAAAGAGGAAGGCACGTGTGGCCACCCTCTATTCCAACTGCACTCTAGAGAGAGCATCGTGGGAATGATCCCAGCCACAGGGTAGCCTGGTCACCCAGGTCTCACTAATTGCCTCCTTTCTTTGGTAAACAACTTCCATTAACCTTGTTCTCGTACACCAAATAGTCCATTAAGAATTAATCAAATGGCATGTTTTTGGCTTTTTATACTCCTTTCACTTTAAGTTAGAAGGTTAAATTAGAAAATGCTACATCCTGTTCAAATGATAAAGTTAATTAGCTTAAAGGAATTTGAAACCATTATTAACATGAGATAAAAATACTCAATAATGAGAGCCATTTCCTGAAAATGTTTATTCGCAACTTATCAAGAAGGAAAACATTACTCTAATGTAGACATATGTAACAAATATCTCAGCGAACATGGTCAGCGATTTTTCCCTCTGTTTTATTTCACTGATGGATATTTAAATATGCATCTCCCTGAATAGCTTATTAGAATCTCTTTAAAAGTTCAAAGCAATCCAGAATAACCTTCAGTTAATTTAAATTGATAATTAGTTTCTATATTTGTATTTTCCGCCAAACAACTTTCTTTTTATCCTGATTCATACATTCATTATGACCTCCTTTCTTTGATAAACAACTATTATTCACTTCTGTAACAATAAATGCAATCCAAATCATAACGCTTAGGACTCTTTGATCTTAAACTAGACGAATGGTTTTCCAGACTCCCAAGCTTGGATGCCATCTTCCTGCCGCCTTTGGATTCTTCAACACCTTGGTTATGAAGAGTGAAGGACAAAGATCTCCTCTTCTTGCTACTCAGACTGTAGAGATTTTTTTCCCCCCTGAATTTCTGGCTTTTACGTTCTACCTCTATTCCATAAAAATTCATGAATTATCTCAAATATTCCACCAGGTTATAAAATGGTAATTTGAGAAGTACCTGCAATGTAAATACAAAACAGGGGCTCTCTTTTTGCCTAACTTTTCTTCCATGAAAACCCCAGCAGCTTTCTCCTCTCATAGGCATTTAGCAGACAGAATTGCTCTTAATGAATTTCCTATTACAGAGCAACTCAAGAGCTGGAAGGAACATTTGGTAGGTAATAAATAACATTCCACTGACCTGCCTCTGGCTAGAGCTCAGACGAGAAGATTCTTGCCTTACATCTCATTTTATACTTGATATAATACTCATTTCTAAGGAAGCAGTGAGTTTTTAATTAAAGCTGTGCTTTCCATTTTCAGGGACCCCATGGACTTCCTGGACCAAAGGTACCAGCAAATCCCTTGATTATTTGATTTCTATTTCCTTGATGGTCACAGGCAAGCATGACGGAAGCATGTCTGTCCTGTCTTATTTACTTGTCAAGTAATGTTGATAGTCTTTAAGCCTTTAAGCACCCAGATGTTTAACTCTCACAGTACAATGCGACTCACGATGAGCTTAAGTGCTAACACCTGGAAATAAATCATTCCGCATTTTGCTTTTACCCTTGTCACTGTGTAAGTTTTTTTTAAATACGTGGCATATTAAAATCTGCCACGTAAGGGTCGTCTGATGAAATTCTCAGACTAAGCCAGGAGCTTTCTCTTTTTATGGTGGCAATAGTTCTATATTTGCTGTCAACTGAAGGTCTTGCTTGCCACACACTACAACTGCATCTACCTGCCTTGGCTTCCTAGCATCTCAGTGTCTTCCTTCCCATGGGTCATAATCTAGAATAGGATGAGGTATATCAGCTGTGACGTCACAGAATTTATGTACGTGTAAAAAGGAGCAATGGAGAATAGGCCCTCCTTGACAGAACCAGTAGAGCCTACACTGGAAAGACGGTCTCCGCCTGTTCTTTTCTTCTACGGAGACCCAGAGAGCATCTTTAAATGCAGTATTAGCACTAGGCTTCTGAAAGCCCAGAGCAGCCACTCTCTCCTGGGGGTTGGCAAGGCCCCCTTTGGCTCTCCCAGCTATGAAGGGTTGACACAAGAATCCTTGGCTTTCCTTTTCAGGGGCAGGCAGGTAACACAAGAAGGGGAAGAGCTGGTCACCTCGTTCTTCTTCGAATGCCTTACCTTCAGGTTAAGCCAGTGGCTAGTGTATTAGTTACTATAATGACTGAGGAGAGTACGGCTCCCAAGGCTGTTTTAATTCTGAGGTGATTGAGACACACCATAACCATTCAATCAGATGAGGCCCAAGATCCTTTTGGTACAGAACATGACATTAAGTCCTTTTTCCACAACAGTTGTTATTTCCATCATTGCTATCAACAAGTTATAAAATTGAAAAGACCTCAGATGACCTATGTTAGTTCCTTGACTCTGCAACTGATAAGCTACACAGACCCAGAGCAGTTCACTTATTTAATGTAAATTACAGGAAGAGATGATGACCAGGTTGGTAATAGAATTTGGTGCAGATATGAAATTTGGTCTTTTTGCCACTTGATTTGACTGCTTTTGGATTGACATTTGAAACATCTACTCTTACCAATATGTGGTTTCCTACCAAAGAATTTCAGGGCCCGCTAAGTCTGCCCTTCGTCATCTTAAAACCACACACGAGAAATGAGCTCACATGCAAAGCCGTGAATCTCAAGTTTAGAACAGTGGCCACTGAGCCTTGGCCTCAGTGCATTGTTAACTATGGCACTGGGACCTCAGGATTAGACCTGGTCAATTATAGCAGATTTGGGTTTTCAACCGTGGCTACACTACAGACTCACATTTTCAAGATCTACAAATTCTACTATGCTATGACAGTGTGTGGGCCCTCTGAAAGTTCAAATACATAGCATGCTCTCATGGGTGCATCCATATCAGGGTTTCCCATAATTTTCTCATGAGCATTCTCATTTAGGCGGCTGTTAATTATACCCATTCCTATGCTCGCTTAGTTATGAGACTCTAGACTCTGCTCTAAATGAGCAGCACACTGGTTTTCACTATCAGGCGGATTGGATAGAACTTCAAAGGTTAAAAGTCCCTTCAGCCAATATGAACATGCCCTCCATACAGTGAGGTCACCTTCCTTTCACGAGTCTTTCCATGTTTTCTTGACAAGTGAATGCCCATACTTAAAAGCTGGAAAGTGTATGTGTCCGAACTCTCTATCTCTAACGTGCTATTACTGCTGGGCAATCGGCATGCTGTATCCCTGGATTTTTCCTGAACTGAGTCAGGAGAATTTGCCACTTATCAGGGCTCTTGTAATGTCATTCCATGTTAAACTGTACTTCCTTCATTCTAACATGGCGCAGACAGTCAGGGAAACTATATTCAAGTTCTCTGATCTTCATAGTCTCCTCTGGGACTGTCAATTTGTGGTTAACTATATTGATTAATCCACGCAAGAACCCGACTTGGCAATGTCGGGGAATGAGGACTTGCAGAATGGCATTACTTCAAACATCAGTGTCTACGTTTTCAGTTCATTCTCCTGGGCAAAATGCTTAAAGGCTTAAAATGTCTGTCTATAACACTGCCCTGCATATTCCAGTTTTCAATCCCAGCAGAGTGGGGTTTCCTACTGATCCCTTCAGTATCCACCACTCTGATTGTCTCTGATTTGCTTAGTCAAAACAATGTAACACTAAGTTCCTTGAGGTAGAACTCCAGGATCCATGATGTCAGCTGTACATCTTGTGGTGATACTCAACACGTTTTTTCCTTGAGTTTCAGCGCTTTCTAGAATATTATTTGTCATCTCTAGCTTATGAAGCTTTAAATTAGGTTATTAACTGATGCACAACCAAGCTAGCCTCACTCTGCTGTCACCTAAAACTGGAATCTGCAAGTGTTTCAGAGACTGGGTCTCTTCTCTCACAGTTGAAACACCCATGATAGCAACCAAAATTGGCATTTGCTTTTGCATTTAGGGTGAACCAGGGTTAAATGGTGTTAAAGGATTGAAGGGTGAACCAGGCCAAAAGGGTGACAGAGGACCCCTTGGTCTTCCAGTAAGTAAAGAAAACTTTCCATTTGGGGGCAAATCTCAGATTTTTCTTTCTACCCTAAGTAACCATGCTGGTTTGCTCGGCGACTGTCTTACAGTCGAGAGTCCTGTCATTAGAACACACACTGTGTCAGAGCAGAGCACAGTCCAGTTTTGTTTTCCCTGATGTCTTGATCTCGTGTCTCAGGGTGACCCCATAACAAGCAGTGCCACAAATGTCCCGTCACACGTCAATTACATACATGCCAACCTTGCTCTTGTGGGGCTGACAGGCAAGTTCCGCCACTGTCTCTTCTAAAAAGTGATGCTTATTGTTTCATGGTCTCTCCCAAGCACGTTCATGGTCTAATACAGGGTAAACCCTGTACTCCGTTGTTTTGATCTTTCGGAGTCTGTACAATCTCTAGCACTCTGTTGGTGGCACGTATGCAATTGGCCATCGTTGAGGTCAGTGCTGTGGCCCTTACATTAGTTGACCGCATTGTGTTCTGTATGTTTTGTGTTGTCCGTTTTGGAGATTCCCTGTTATGAGGTTCATGGGAGAATAGTGGATAGTACGGAAGACATATTCTGCAGTTGTAAAGATTTTTATTCATCATGAAAAAGGGGGTTTCACCCATTCATATACTTTATGCCAATATTCTTCCCACAACAACTTGAAAGGGTTTTAAAATTATTATTGAGTGTAATGGTTTAATTTGGGGCTTTTAATACGTTGTTTATTCAGTAAATGAAGATAAGGGTCAGTAAAAATATTGTAGGTTTCATTTGTAAAATATGACATAAAAACCAGTAACAGAAAATAGTTGTATAGTAGAGATGTGAGATAAAAAATGTTGATGGTCCCTATCTCATTTTCCCCATGGGTATTGTGTTTTCAGGAGTAACATCCACTCAAAAGCCCATGACTTCTAAGTCAGACACCGCAGCTGTTTCGTACACATTTACTTACTGAGTGAATCATGGGAGCTTTATGTTATAGTTCAAGTTAAATTGTGCCAATTGGATCAATGGAGCATAGACACAAAACATTTGTAAGCCCTTAGTTCCACACCCCAGTTAGATAAAGAATCTTATCATCAATATAAATATCATTTTAACATTTATCTTCAAATGTTATAATAGTGACTTTAAAAAAAAGGCTTAAGAAGCTTTGCATTTCCTAAACGTTTAGTCTAGTTTCTCTAAACTTCCCCCTACTGTCAAATTTACGGCTGCTGGGGATTTTTACAGCCCATTTAGCCAAAAGTTATTCCTAAACAAGCAACAGCAATACCTACTGTTCTTGATCGTTGCTACCTAAAGCTCTGTTTTGTACTTACAGCGTTGATCATGACAAGATCATACTGAAAGAATTTTTAAATTAAAAAAAAATATGTGTTGGCGTTGCTGGCAGCTGGAATCGATTTTTTTCTTTCATTTTTTTTTTATTATTATTAACTGCACCTGAAGCATGAAGCTGAGAAAGAGTTCTCCAGCCTGGCCAAGAGAATCAAAAGTGTTAACACGACGTCTTCTTAAATATTCCATGACGTAGTTTGCTCTGTAAGAGCCTCATCAAGAAGGGTTATAGTTACTCTTGCTACAGACACAGAAAGTGCCATTTTATCATTCCGCCATGGGTAGCCCTCAATCCGAACTAAGGAAAAGCATGCAGTAATCTGAGACGAGTAGGTTTTAAGTCATTTCTCATACAAACATCAGTGTAAAGGTTATTTGAACTGAACTGGGGGACAGACTGGCACTTATTTTGACTTGAGCCCATATTTTTTTCTTGTTCCTAGAAGTCCCTCTAGTGGTGACTAATAAGCACAGCCTTTTTGTTCATAAAAGCGTTTTAACAAGTGTAGCCAGAGCTCTGGCGCCCTTTCTTAGGAGATTGCCCTTACTTTCTCTCCAGAATCTAAAGAAATCTATCATGAATAATAGTCTTTAGAAAATGAATTTCATGTGGACATAGACCTAGAAACCCCTTTCCTGTGTGTTGTCAGCAAGAACTCTGTAGGCCACTGTAAGACCTCCTTCACCAGACTTCTAGAGAAGAATTTCCTGGCAGAAATGTCACTAAAATGCCATCACCTGTGGGGCATGTATTGTCATGTGATTTTTTTTTTAACTAACTATCTGTAGCACTGTGGTATTCACCCCAGAATTCTGTGACTGTGTATGATGTTGCTTGAAGTGTTGCATTTGCTCACCAGTGCCTCCTACTAATCTCTGTTCTTGTCATTCGTGTGCCAATCCCGACCAACCCAATCACACAGGGAGCATCTGGCTTAGACGGGAAGCCAGGATCCCGGGTGAGTCAGCCCCGCGTCCTGCTCCGATGTGTGTGCGCTCCGTGGATTGTGTGCTCCACCGGGGAAGACCCCTTTGTTCCTTGTGGGCTTCCCAGATGATGAGGGGTCGCTTAGGGCGAGAATCAGAGGGGAAGTGGATGAGGACGGTGGAAAGGGAGAAAGAGGGACAGAGAATGGGTCACAACTCGGAAAGTATGGCCCGAGCTGCCAGGACACCTTCGGAAGTTCAAGTCTGGATAATTTACTGAATGAGAAGAGTGCTGGGTCCCACTGCCTTCAATGTCTCAGCAACCTTAAACAGTTCATAACACCTTCCCTGCATTCCCATGGGAAAGGCCCCGAAATGGTGAAAAATGAAGAATTTATTTTAACTTGCTTTTCCTTTACATTTTTGTCCATCCTAGAAATGCAATTTCTTCCTTAAAAATTAACTTCCAAGTCTCTATTCATGAAGCAAAGCATGGGTCTCCATCATTTTTACCACTTTTTTGTTTTTAGCAGCTCAACTTTTAAACTTTAGCCATAGTCACTCAGTATTTGGAAGCATTGTGGAGGTGAACTTTGAGTTGAAGCAATAAGAGAGTGATTAAGACACTAAGAATTCACCAACAGGAGAATGAATTCGAAACTCTGAATTCTTTCCTATCCAGAGAGTCTAACAGAATCCACCAACCTGCCAGGACAATGAGGGGAATGTGCTAGACAGGTTGAAATAATCCTTGTGTGTGCAAATACCATTTTGCACTCTTCGCCACGCTAGGCATTGTCTTCCTGATAATTGAGCAAATATATTTGAAATCCTTACTACATTTTTAAGAATCCAAATTTTCAGTTCTGAAAACCTTCAGGCAGTTATTATTTTCTGCCAGACCCCAGAGTTCTTACATCCTTTCAGATATTATCTTCTCTGCCACAGAAACCAATTCTGTCAGTCGAATCATTTTACCTGCCTGATGTGCAAATTATGGGCAAAGCCTAGAAGAACAACCCCTCCACCTCATGAGCCCCTGCTGTCCCAATGGAGCTGCAGAATGTTGTTTTGAAAGTTAAACACTTCTCATTCATATGTTTTAAAACGCTGAAAACAAAGTTTTGAGGCTTTGGCCATGGGTGTCAGTGGCTGTGGAGAAAAGACTCCGGGAAAAGATGGTTATATTTTCCTGGTTAAGATTATGGAGGCATGGGACTGGAGAGATGGCTCAGCAGTTAAGAGCACTGGCTTCTCTTGCAGAGGACCCAGATTCAGTTCCCAGAACCCATGTGGTGGCTCACCAGCATCTCTAACTCCACTTCCTGGGATCTGGTGCCGTCTTCTGGCCTCCATGGAAACTGCACACACATGATGTCTATACATACATGCAAGCACTCACACATACACATAAAATGAAAATAAATCTGAGAGAAGAATGATGAGAGCAAAATGAAGATATTTCATCAGATAAGAATAAATAACTGTGAAATATGGCTTTTGTGTATACTCTTTGTTAAAGCATGCAGTTAGATACTTCCTCCCTGTTGCATGGATTTCTCAAAAATAACTGGCATGAAAAACCATCAAGAATAAAGTGATTTAAAATCAGATAAGTTATCCTAAGACATCATTCTCCCAGACAAGTAAAACAGAACTTTTCTTGCAGTCCTTGTCTCTCACTCGTCTCATGGTATTTTATTTTAATCTTTTTTAGGGTGCAGATGGTCCTATAGGACCCCATGGCCCTGCAGGTCCCAAAGGAGAAAGAGTAAGTCTCTCTTTGTGTTATCACACTTAAGCTGAGCACTGAAGGAAACAAAGCATGGCTTCGAGACAATCTCAAACTATTCAGTGTCCAAGAAAGATGGGGGGCTATCTAGTACTAAATGAAAATGTCACCATTCGGAGTTCTGTTCAGAGTCCTAAGACCAAGAGAAGAAAACCACACAGTATGACATGGGATCAGTCTGCCTTAATGAAAACAATATATACATTTCCATAGCTGAAATAAATAGCTCCCATTATTCCTTCTTAACCCATAAGGAAGATATTTTCATTGGGCCTTCATCCAGAAAGTTGAAGTCAATGGGGCTAAAATTTCCAGAACTACATATTCTGGTTGATAATCTTAATACAAAGCTACTGTATTCATTCCGAGTAAGTTATAATGTTTTTCCAAAGGAAATTACAAAACCTACATATTCTTCTCCATTCAGTTACCCATACTCTCATTTTTCTTTTGTGAGTTAAAGAATGACCTGTTTTCCTGTAGCCATAAGGAAATGATTTCAGTGAGTTATAAAGCGGGACCCTTTCACGAACCTCACTGTTCTAGTCTATGCTTCCATATCCTTGGGAGGAAAAGAAAGAGACACTTGGGGGAAGATGAATATCTGACACACAAAAAATGTGCAGCAGCCTCGGCAGCTGATCATGTGTCTGGAACCTCTTCCCTTCTATTTTTCACCCACTTTTTCTTTTCTTCACCTTGAAAAACTGCAAACGTGTGTGTGTGTGTGTGTGTGTGTGTGTGTGTGTGTGTGTGTGTGTGTAGAATTGTGTCATCAATTTCCCTACCAGGCACTGTACAAGATGAGGAAAGTATGCTGAATGTGAGCATTTCATGATGTTGGCATGGTTCACCGTGTAAGTTTGTGGGCTTTTTAAAATGAGAGTTTTCATCAGTCTGGACTAATTTGATTTTTAAAGAAAGGACCAGGTAGTAATGTCTCTGACATGCCTTCTAATTCCCTAGTCCTGTGTTCTGTAAAGTAAGTTCATGCATGCAATAAATGCTTATCAAATGTAACTGTGTACAATGCAATCCTTTGGGGTGAAAGAAACACTCCTCCTACTTAAAGAAAACACCCTTTGCTGGTTGCTCTGCTACAATGAATAATACCATTATAATTGATTCATCATCATCAAAGAGACTTTTATTAATGATCATAAGTATATACACACTATATAAATAATGCTGCAAAGGAAGCATCTGGGGTTTTTTTTCTATTATTGAAAATAGATTCTTTTCTCACATAATATGTCCTGATTATGGTATCTGCTCCCTGTACTCACCCAGTTCCTCCCCACATCCTCTCCCATCCTGTATCCCATTAGAAGAGAACAGGCTTCTAAGAGATAATATTAAAATATAACAAAATGAAATATAAGGTAAAGCAAAAAAATCAAGGTTGGACAAGGCACACCAACAGAAGGAAAAGAGCCCAAGAGAAGGCACAGGAATCAGGGACCCACTCATTGGCACACTTAAGTATCCCATAAAAACACTAATCTGGAAGCCATAATATATATGCAGAAGACCTTGTGCAGGCCCTGTGCATGCTGCCACAGTCTCTGTGAGTTCATATGAGCTTTGCACATGTTGATTTACAGGACCCTGTTTTCTTAGTGTCCTCCATTCCCTCTGGCTCTTACGCTCTTTCTGCCTCCTCTTCCATGGGGTTCCCTGAGCTCTGAGGGGGAGGGGTTTGATTGAGACATCCCCTTTAGGACTGAATAAGAAAGCATCTACCTTCATTAATCTAGAAGAGTTTATGTTGCAAAGAAGAAATCTATGCAAAAAAAATAGCCAGAGAATAAGGCCAAAGTCAATACAACTACATGGGCTAGACCCCAGTGAAGACTGGCCTTATCCAAGAAGAGTTCCAGAAAGAGATGAGTCCTTAAGAATGTATTTTCTGGGCCGGGCGGTGGTGGCGCACGCCTTTGATCCCAGCACTCGGGAGGCAGAGGCAGGCGGATCTCTGTGAGTTCGAGGCCAGCCTGGGCTACCAAGTGAGTTCCAGGACAGGCGCAAAGCTACACAGAGAAACCCTGTCTCGAAAAACCAAAAAAAAGAGGAAAAAAAAAAAAAAAAAGAATGTATTTTCTGAATCCACTATTGTGGATCAAACCAACAACTTCTGATAATTAGCTTCATTAAAAATACTTCAAAGCTAAGAGCGTCCTGCTGCTGATAAAGATTCATTTTCAAGCACTGGATGAAGAAGAAACTCAGTCCATCCTAAAATTGGAGCAGCAAAGCTCAGGCGGTCTGTTGGCAAAGTGCCCTGGGCTCAAGAGGGTTTGCTGTTTGGTAAATCAGCTGTTACTTCCGATAGCTCAACAGTATCTCAAGGGTATCAGGTCTCAGTGCTGGTGCAGAATTAACCAGAAGAGCCAATGAAGTCTCTAAGAATTTGTGAATGCATAGTTGAAGCCAGGTGCATGCGGTGTGAAGTGCCACACTTGTGTCTCCTCAAATGGGATCGTGTGTCAGTATGCCGCGAGTGCCCTCGCTCAAAGTGCCAGACCGGAGTGTGAATCTCACAGCTAATGGAGGTGCCATCTGGAGGCTCCTGCAGATGTTTCTGCTTTGAAAGCAAAGGCAGGCCTTCTAGAACAAGTCCTGGGTACTGATATGCAAATGAATGAGCCTGCATGAAATTTGGCCAGCCTAAAAAAAAAAAATGGAGCCCTTCACATGCAAGCCTTCTCCATAGGTGACGGACACATTCGTGCGCAGCCCCCCATGCTCCCTGCCTTCCACTGATTTCTTCATCTGGGTAAAGGACAGGGCTTTGAAGCCGTTCCTAGAGCCCTCCTTTGACTTGTTACATCGAGCAAAACACTTTCTCCTTCAAGCCCCTTAGAGGTTAGGTCTCTCCTCCCCAGCTGAAAGCGAGCTAGTGGTTTTGTTCTGAATACTGAATTCTTCCTCTGGCCTTAGAACTCTGTAATGTTTTAAGTTTGAAAGGATCAAAGGTTCTTTTGGAACTCCTTAATCCAGGGGGAAAAAAACTATACATTAAAATCCCTGGGTTAATATTTCATTTCTGAGGGTACCCAAGACGCAACCGCTGGGGTTGGTGCTTTGGTGCTGAGGCAAAGATCCAAATTCCATGTGGCTTGAACAAGACAGGAATGTTTCTTTCATATAACCAAAAGCCAAAGGAGGAATCTAGGCTCTGCTTCTACCCAGGCAGAATCCTAGCTGTCAGTCCAAGGGTCACTCAGGGAGACTTGAACCAAGGACAAGGCTCTCCAACCCCAAGGGAGATCATCTTAGTGGGAACCACCTTCCAAGGAACTTGTAGCTGAGTGTTCCCAAGGCATTCCTGACCAGCACTGGCTAATGGATCCACTTCTCATGGTGCTCCGCTGTGAGGGGCAGGCTGGTCTAGAAGAGAAATCCTGCAGACAAGTGTTGGAGTGACCGCTTACTGTTTAGATAAGCCACAGTATGTTCCTTTTAAAAAACAAAGCAAACCAAGGTTCTCAGTAGAGGTGGGGGTGGAGAAGTAGGAAGTGCCATGGTGATATTTAGACTAGACCTGGTCTACTTTCTGTGAACCTACCTCTAAACCCCATGAACACACGCACACACGCACACTCGCGCACACACCATTTTAAAACTCATAACACCGCCAAGCCTATCAAAAGAAATCAATTTTAAATTAGCATACTTTAAAACTCTTTCCACTAAAAATATGACCTCTACTTGTATAGTAGCTAGCACTTGAGACATCAATTATTTAACGCTGTATAATGTCATATATTACTATCACATTTAGTCTTCAGGACAATTTCACAGACTATTTATCACTATTTTATCTGTGACTGATATAACCCAAGCAAAGAAGGGTTGAGAAAGTTCTAGCGTTCTGGAGGCCTTACCACCAGAAAGAGACAGAAATATAATTCGAGAACAGAGAAGTAAATGCCTATCCCATGCCTCTGCTGGTAGATTTCCTGGCTTTCCACCCACACACACAAAACATGGACTGAGCTTTAAGCCCCTCTGATGACACAATAAAAGAATGAAGATAGAACTTTCTATGGAGGTACTCACGGAAGCCCCTGACATTTTCATGCTACATAGTAACACACACCTTAATCTGGAGGAAGCAGCCCAAAAACAATCTTAAAATGAAAAATATATCTTTATTAGGTTATTTCTATCCATGGACCACCTCCAATAATCCTGATTCTTCACAAGCATTCTGGATTATCATTTATGCTAACCCTATTAAATGGACAGTTAGAATAGTAAAGATCATATGTGTCTACCCACCAAGCACTTGCTGAAGGCATAAAGGTTTTTAAACCTTCTTTTTCAAAAAGAAGACAAGATGTGTATAACAATGTATGACCCCGTGTGATTAATTTGTTCAACTAATATTTGCTAATGTGCTGAGCACTATTCTAAAATATGGCTGATGGAAACAAAGCTGGGGGCCCTGGGGCCCCAGTGTGCCCATTCTAGTGAGAGCCACAGACAGACAATAATAGTAACTCTGTGTGTCTCACAGAGTGCAGGGACCAGAAGGTGCAGCTGAGGTGCAGCTGTGGAAATGGGGAGAGTGTCAAGGAAGGGCTCTCTGAAGAGACTTGATTTTTAAGAAATCTTACATGAAGGAGAAGGAGAAGGAGAAGGAGAAGGAGAAGAGGAAGGAGAAGGAGAAGGTGGCAGCAATACAGGCCAAATATCCCTAATCCAAAAATTCAAACTGTGAATCCCTCTAAAATCCAAAAACCTTTGAGCCCTAACGGAACACCACAGATGGGAATTCTACCCTGGCCTTATATGACACATTGCAATAGAAACAGAAGCATAATAAAAGTATTGTATAAAGTTAACTTGTAGGGGATGTGTACAGGATTCATGTCTAAAACAACTGGATTTTGTAGTTTATATTGTGTCTCATCCCCCAAATATCAAATTCAAATTCAGCTTTGCTCCTAAGCATTTCTGGAAAGGGATAGGAACCTCTACTTTAAAACAAACAGTAATGCTCTCCACAGTGCCAGAGGAACCCAAGCAGAGCATTCTACACATAGGAATCCTTCAGCACATCTGGGTGGCTAAGGGTGGTGGCTTCTTCCTGTCTGTCAATGGCCATCTAGTAACATCTGCCATGGTGGATGACTGTCACTACAATTTTAAAGGAGCATGAATCATTGACATTCTGATAGAACACTTAAATGGCAGCTTTCTGTGTGAGCTACATGGGAATGTAAGGGTTCATGTATGACTGGAACTTTCTGCTTTTTCACTTTAGGGAGAAAAAGGAGCTGTGGGAGAGCCTGGACCCAGAGGGCCCTATGGGCTGCCTGTGAGTTCACTATCACATGACCGCCACCATCAGCATGCTACTGTGACCTGCTACTGACATGGTTAACCCTTCCCTAGTGGGCAGACTAATCTCATGATAGGAGCAAAGGCAATCCAATGAGTAGTCACAACACAGAGAATTCTGCACTGCAGAAAGGTCATAGTCTCAAATGATCTCTGTACATAGAGACACACCCAAGCAGGTCATGTGATTGAAGATCAGAGACAAGGGGACAAACAGCACCAACTAGAAAGCAAAGTTCTGCCTGACAGATGGCACCCTTCCATGCCATCTGAGTGGACACCCATAACTGGCAGTCCCTTGATGGATCATTGGTGTCAATTGGATGTGAAAATTTCATTTATAATAACCTTCATTCCTTGTCTATTCTCATAGATTAGCAAAAAACAAATTCTTTTGCAAGTGGAAATTATGATTCAAATTAAATTTCTATTCATGATGACAGTGTTTATGACCTTTCTAAATTCCTGAGAGGACAGATGATCTTCAGAACATAGAAGGTTGGCAGTGTTCTGCCTTCTAAAATTGTGAACTATGCAGAACCGAACTGAGGTCCCAGGTTTCTGTAGAGATGCTCTGCACCGTGGTTCCAGTCAGTTGTGTAGAGGAAGACTCAAAGTAGCAAGGGTTGCATGTAGGTTTTTAACCTGCCTGTGCTTTCCACGGGCTTCTTATGAACTCAGAAAACAAACTTCATTCACAATCATTTCAGTGCTCAACAAGATACTCGCTTTGAAATAGATGTCAAAGTGTACTAATGGAATGAGCGTAGCTTTTGGGAACTTTTGATGGAACATAGTCTGATCCAACATTACCACCATGCAGGGGGAAAGTTACCATCTTGTGTAAACAGTCTTCGACCAACCCTCTTGGGAATTCCTCTTCTACAAAGTTCACTATAAAGCAGCTTTTGAAGTTGTTATGTTTACACTCCTTGTATTCAAGGTGATTGTCTAGTCAAATTCAAACTATATTTAATGATAAACAATTTTTAGGTTCTCCATTAATTGAAAAGCTGAGTTCTCAAACTAAAGGAGCATTGATTTACATCTTCCGTTAGTGTTGGTGTATTTTTTAACTCAACTAAACATTTTTTTGTTTTGCTTTGCACTTCATTACTGAGCTGCTAAGTCAGACAGCAAGCATAGAATTTGAGCAAAACTACCTATTTAACCCAGTAAAGAGTTTAAATCCCTCATGCCCCATAACTTCAACTAACAGTCCCCTCACTTGATTTAAAGAAATATGACTAATCAAGAAGGCTTTTTCACAATTCTAGCTTAGTCTTTCTAATACTAATGTTGCATGCCCAGAGCAGCCTTAAACAAGAACCTATTGAAACTTAGGAACACTAATGTAGCCACTGTGGTTCTTTGGCAGGGCAAAGATGGAGAGCCTGGTCTTGATGTAAGTAATCTGCACAGCAAACATCCTTCAATTGTAATTGATGCAATCAATGGTCTCCATCATCAGGAAACACTAAGAGTACAGAATATTTTGTCTGTGCATGTGTTATGAACACACACACACATCATATATATGTATATAGTAGATATATAATTACTGTGCATGTAGACAGCAATATAAAATACACTAGTATTTGCAACACTAGTATTTGCATGAGATAAAGGAAAAATAATTTATGTAAATTAGTAATTGACACTGGATAGTGATACTTCAAAATCTTTTCCTAAATTAAGGATACTCAGCATCAACTATGTTATAGAAAAAAATAACTATGAATCAAATCGGTCTGCCTCTCATGTGCTGCCCTTGGGGAATGGTGTTTTGTTAAAGCTATTATAATGTTCTTTTTCTTTTTCCATTAAGTCTCTATGTACATTTTCTCTTATGCTAAAATATTATATAAAAATACAGACTGTCAAAAGTAAATGCCTCTAGGAACTGTCATAGCTTGTCAGTATTGTGTGAGTAATGAAGTTACAATAGTTGCTGTTTATTGAGCACCTGTTATATGCAGGCATCATTCTGGCACTTGGCATCCACCATCTCATTTAACTTCCACAACAGCTGTGTGATAGTCATTAACCTTATTTTATAGTCAAGGGACTAAAGGGCAGAGGTAAGTGATTTGCCCAAACCCACACACGTTAGTAAGTGTGCCAGGATTCAAATTAATATTCTTGTGCTCTTTCTCCTGCATTTTTTAGGAGAAATAAAGCAAGAAACTTGTTGTGCATAGCTTATCGAAATGGTAAAAAGTACTATTTCTAAGTGCTACTGTTCTTTGTGAGTTTAAAGATTGACGTGTCTGTTATTATATGTGAGTTCAGACCAATGAACTGTGGTTAGTGGTGTTTGTTGATTTTGATATGATTTTACCACAGTTATACCATTAGATAACTGGAGTTTGCTTTTTATCCCCTAGGGCTTCCCTGGTCCTCGAGGCGAGAAGGGTGACCTGGGAGAAAAGGGAGAAAAGGTGACTTCTCCCAGCATGCACCTTGTGTGTCTCTGCTAACACTGTCTGCTCTGCTGCTGAACCTGTGCGATTCCATCATACGCCTTTCCTGTCTCTGCCCTGTGTCCCAAAAACATACAGACGGCTGATCTAAGGAATCGGGTCTTCAGAGAGGACTACTGAAGGCTACACAGCTAGAAATGAGGGTACCATCCAGCATAGGAGGAAGATTTCAGCCCCTAGATATCAAAGCCACAGTTTTTCAACTTCCTGACACCAATTATTTAAAAGGTCATGTCCAGGGGTGGGAAGGATTGTAAATTTTTTCACAAAAGTAAAATCACATCACACAAACCTCAATGGTATTTTGGCAAAGCCTAGCTCACCCGAAGGCCAGGATCTCATTTATCTTTATGACATTCCTCAGAGAGAGACTGATGCATGGTACATTTTGATTTTTTAAATTCAGAGGTAGAAGAGAAACACTGTGAGAGAGAGACCACAGTATGCCCGCTGTGCAGAGGCTGCTCTGTTAGCCGGAAAGCCAATAGTTGTAGGCTTTTCAGTGAAGACATTGGTTATGGCTTGATATTGAGGATTCCTCTGGACCATCAGTCAACTCTGTAGGCTATAGGGGCCAATATCAAGCAACATGATTTTATGACTAAAAGAAAAGTTTGGATTGTAAATTTTAAACATCACTTTTTCCATTTCTCTTTAGTTCTGTCCTGTCTTGTCTTCTCTCTAGTTTGCTATAGTCTTCAATCCATTAGTAAATCAAATAAGTTTTTATATTGTGTGAAACAAAAGGCAAAAAAAAAGTCAATAATGAAAATATTCAAACATCTATCTCATGATTCCAGTTTAAACCAGTTCTACTGCTTAGATTAATTCATGCCCTGATAGAGTTAACAATACATTGTTTTTAAAACCCAGTGAATTCTCCTGAACAGTGAAACTCTTCCCTGTTATGACGCAAGACCAAAGGGGGTATGCCAAAGAAGGGGTATGAAGCCCGCTGGATATGTCTTAAGAATTAAGTTACTTGGCCTCTCATGGGTAAGAGCCCACACAGTAGTCTTCCCAAAGCACCACCGCCAACAGCATCACACATGCCGAGCACCTGTGCATTCCTTTTCCCGAGAGCTTTACACAAGATGCACCCTGACATCTTCACACCACCATGCTGAGGTGGGTGCTATCATTTCCTCACTTCACAAACAGGGAAAAGTATATTCTAAAATGTTCATTTCCACACTGTAAATCCTGACTACAAATTTTATGTGGTCTGAGATAAGTTTTGTGCAAGAGCATTCAACACAAGACAAACTGTCTTGAAGGCCATGGTCACTTATTTTATATTGACCCAGTAGGTTGTATGAATCTAAAATCTTACTCAAGAAAAAAATAACATGTGGTACTCAATTTTATGATCTTTAAAGAAGTTAGAAATTACTCATTTGGCTCAATGGTAAAGTCCTTATCCAGCATGCGCATGGCCCTGAGTTCATTCACCAACATTGCAAAGAGAAGGAGGAGGAGTGGGTGGGAGAGAAGAGAAATTCCCATCAATGTAGCTAATAGAAGCACAAACTTTCAAACCCACCCTCATAAAAATGTTAATCTCCCATATGAAAATATTTCCATGATTAGAAGATGTATATTCAGGAAAATTAGATTCTCGGTGTTGAACAACACTTTGTGTATCTTTTTCTTTTTGGTTTTTCGAGACAGGGTTTCCCTGTGTAGCTTTGCACCTTTCCTAGAACACACTCTGTATACCAGGCTGGCCTCAAACTCACAGAGATCTGCCTGCCTCCGCCTCCCGAGTGCTGGGATCAAAGGCATGTGCCACCACCGCCCGGTCTTTTTCTTTGATATATTAAAAATTGACAACAATTATCAATTTCAACTGCTCATACACTCAATGAGAGATAGGTAACTTTGTGGTACACAGATAATCACTTTATTTCACAGCATGATATTGATTAATAACATTGACATATTATTCTTTTAATGTCCCTTTTCCATAAAGCTTGCTGTTCACTAAAATTTTAACAACAAAATTGCCTATCACAGAATTTGAGTAGTTAATCTTAAACCCATTGGCCAATCAAATAATGAATTCCACTTAACAACCAACACGCTTGGCCTCAGTTAGACCTACTCAAAGATGAGTCATGGCCACATGGAGGGCAGAGCACACCCAAAAAAAAAAAAAGTTTCAGTTTATATCATGGCGTGGAAGCTACTTGGTATGGGAGGGTGTTGAGTCTCCATGAATGAGCGCTTACTTCTGAGTGCATCACCCACTTCTGTCAATCTGCTTTTTCTTCACCCTCCTGCCACATCTTTGTCTTCAATCATGCACAACTGAACTACCCAGAATTTCTTTCCCCTGTATTCAAGACGCCCAAGTGGTTTTGATTCCGAGCCTTCCGACGCCGCAATGTTTTTGGCACACAGGAGATGAACGAGGAGGAGCTTCGGCTCCTGCTGTCACCGTGGATGTTTTCATTTGAATGAGAGTCTCATACATGTCTGTGCTATACATGGTTCTGTCTTTTCCCTCTGAATATTCATGCTGTTTGCTTCAAAGACTGTTCAATTTTATTGTAACTGCCATCCAGACTGCAGAGTGAATGTTCTCATTTATGTATGTATCTCTGTGTCATCTTCTGCATTCTGCACAGCACCAGCTCCCTGTCTATAAGTCTGCAGATGTGTATGTTAATACAAAACAGCTGGGGTGCATTCCTTCCTTCCCCTCCTTTTGCCTCCTTTCCTCAATTCCTCCATCCCTGTGATCCGTGCAGACGTCCCACAACCTTGACCTTGATTCCCAAATACTAATTTCCACAGCTACGTTCCCACTGTATAATTATCCTGCCTACCTCATTTTAATGAGCCCATACTGCTTTTCCTACCTGCAGCACTGTGAGCTGGAAACTCATTTACCATTGTGAACAACAGGCATGAGGTCAACAAGAGATTGAAGAAGACCGCCTAGGTTTATAGATGTCGGTTTCTCCTGTTGGCATGGCTGCCGAGTATTATTAGCACCTGAAACTTTTATTTAACTCAATAAGTCGAGTATTCACTTTTATTTTTGCTGGGGAGAAAAAAGCAAAACACAGTAGAAGCACATTTTAATACCTACATATTTTTACTGAGAGCTGAAAAATAGAGTATGATTGGACATCCCCAGGAGAGACAGAAGCCATTGCCTCTCCCTGAGTCTGTGCAGCCTTCACATGTTAAAGAACAGGATGGGAAAAGGCAAGTTGAAAGGTTCTCAATTGGGTGGAGTATCCATTACCCACCTCCAGCTCCACCTGCCATCTATACCAGGTCCACAGCACAAATCCCCAATTCACAACTGACTCCAGCATTGTGGCGGTCAGCACTGATCTGCCTTTCCGATGCATCAACCCTTTTGGTCTCCTCCTTTCTTCTTGCTGAATGTCATTAATTGATTGATTGATTGATTGATTGATTAATAATTAATAATGAATCCTGCTGCCTGAATCTATTGTCACCATGGCAGTTTAAGTTGTTTTTTTATGGCATCATGTCTTCTCTACATCAGAACACAGTGGTAAATGCCCTTCCAGACTACTCTTAGCTAAGCCATATTGTGAATCATTTTTATTCTTCTACACCGCCCCCCCCGAAATAAAATCTGTCTTTTATTTAAACCCTTGTATTCACAGGGGGAAAAGGGAAAGAAAGGCAAAAAGGGGCCCAAGGGGGAGAAAGGAGAACAGGGCGCTCCTGGATTAGATGCACCCTGCCCGTTGGTATGTCTGACTTGTGCAACTGTCTCCAGATGTTTTGTGTGAGGGGTGCGATGGGAGAGGAGCAGGCCAGAGGGACCAGGAACAGCTGGTTACCGGAGGGTCTTTTCACATGGACCTGCAGACGGGTGCTCAGAAGTTTGTGCCCAGTATACACGGATATGCTTCCCATCGGGTTCCTGGCCATTCGCTCAACTCTATTTCTGCACTCTCAACAGTGCTGGCTGACTCGAGCCCGACCATAGGATGTGAGAAGAGCCAGCGCCATCCCATACCCCTCCAAAGAGGCGGCTATGGTCTCCTGACAAGGCCTCGTCCTGATAATGTGAAACTTCTCTGCACGTTACTGATCCTTCTAAATTGTTCCTCTCCCAGCTTTTCATCTAGTTGTTTCTTTAGCAGATTTTTGCTTTCGATGAATTCTTGCATTAGTAACGTTATGAGTTAATCTTTACAAACAGGGATTCCGTGGCGTTAAGGGGGAAAAGGGGGAGCCAGGCCAGCCTGGCCTGGATGGGCTGGATGCCCCTTGCCAATTGGTACAGTATTTCTCTTTCCTACCATCCTGCATGCCATTCCTTTATTATGTATTCGTCTGTATCAGTGTAAAGGGCTTCTATCTGGAGCAAGCTTTACATGATAAACATACTACATGCATGTGCATGAGCAGGCTCCTCCCCGGGCTCTGCAGAGGGGAGAGAGCAAGCACGTGTCATCAACAAATGCAAATTAATCTTCTAACATTGTCCTCACTACTGGCGTGTCCATCTCTATGTTCCTTGGAATATTAATTTATCCAATAAATTTTCAGAGATTATCTGTAAGGTAGATAAGAATACATGATGCAAAGACACTGGTAGGCCAGAACTTTGGGCTTTTACCCTGCTTATTTTTTTCCTTTCCTCTAAAAGAAATAATGGTATTTTTCTCTCTCCCATTATAATCTTATCAGGCCATAAATAAGGTCAAACCTACATAACGAAGCTTCTATGGTCAAGAGTTAACCAATTCGAAGCAACGTTATTAAGAGACCATAGGAAAGAAAGCAATGGCCCTGCACATCTAAAGTTGATCACTGTCTGCAGCCCAAACCCTGTTCTCTGTCACATAACCTTTTTGACGTCATGGTCTCTCCTTTGAAAACTCACTTTCCTAAAGTAGATGGAACTCCCTCCTCCATTGGCATGAACTCAAAATCCTCCTTATAACTAAAATCTAAAATTCTACTGGCTGATCCTTTTCCTTGTACCAATCTGGCATCACCAATTTCTCCCAAATATGTTACAAAGCTAGATTTTTTTTTTGTTACAATTAAAAAGGTAGTGTGATTATATTTTGTGGAGTATAAAGAAAGCTTTTTATCATCATGTTCCACTTGGTCTGCATGGCCTTACATAATTCTTCAGTTATAAGCATGATTCTTTAAAGGTAAATGTAGATTTTGTGAGTCTTTTAAGAGATTATGTGTATAGAAAAATATTCAGTCAATTGTTATAGTTTATGGAGTACTCTGTCTTTTGTTTGCTTGCTGTTGATAAGTCACATTTTATAAACCCTTCATTGGAGGAAAATGCATGCCTTCGACTGTATCACATCTTCCGGTCTCATTTGTATCTGAAGATGCTTACATCTTAAAGTATATTTTGTAGTATTTAGAAACCTCCATTCGGAATGTTAACCAATACTGAAGATTTAAATGAAAGCGGTGGTAAACACTATGGATGACATTTACTATGATATGTAGATAGACTGCCGTGTTTCCAATGAGTATATTTTGTAATATCTATTTACAGTATAAGAAAGTGGAAAACACCGGCATATGGAGAGCTATAAACTTCAGATAGAAATGCTTTGCCATTGATTACCATTGCCACAAACCATAGTGACCACAAGGAAATGAAACTCTGATTCATTTAGCAAAGATAAGTGTGAGATGTTTTAATGATATTAAGAGGTACCATGCACTGTGCAGATGTGTTATCTAAAGATGTGCCTGTGAGCAGAGCACTAGGCAACTATGCTTTGTAAATTCCATCTTCAAAATTAGACATAGCTTTTTCTGTATTCACGTATGTATTTTTCAGATGTGTGCTCAGTCTGGAAAACATTTGAATTACCTTTATTCTAACTAACAGTAGGCAAAATATCATGAGCCACCACTTAGTATAAGACGTCTATGACTGAAGTCACCTAATAGAAATAATTTTAGAAGTCTCTGAGCTTGTGAACTAAATCTGATTACTTATAAGAAGCCTGAGGAATTATTTTTCTTCCCTTCAAAACCAGGGACCTGATGGATTACCCATGCCTGGCTGCTGGCAAAAGGTAGGTAGGCCTTATGGCTTTTTGTTTGTTTGTTTTTCTGAAAAGAAACCCTAATTTTGACCAGGCCCTTTCCACTGCAAAACAGACCTTTTACATTTGACATTCTTGAAAAATCTTTGGGTATTTCAAAGCAAATATGCAAGCTCTAGGCAGTCTTTAGATGAATGTGTTTATTACAGATTTCTTCCCAAACCAATGAGCAAAAACAGTTGTTGACAAATTATAATCTGGAACCTCAAAGTCATTGTTTGTGATGGAAAGGCACAATATATCTGTTAAGATTGTTTGTCTCTTGGGCGGTGGTGGTGCACGCCTTTAATCCCAGCACTCGGGAGACAGAGCCAGGCGGATCTCTGTGAGTTCAAAGCCAGCGGTCTACAAAGCAAGATCCAGGACAGGCACCAAAAACTACACAGAGAAACCTTGTCTCGAAAACAAACAAACAAACAAAGAAAGATTGTTTGGCTCTCTGTCAATGAACTCTTTCCTTCTATTATTTAAAAATGCTTTTGAATTGTGATTTTCCCTGCATATCAGTTGCATTGACAAATCAGATATATGGTAGAACCCTGTCAGTATTAGTCACACAACTGAGAAAGCAGAAAATACAAACATAACATATATCAGTAATATCTTGATTTATTTAGTAGTGTCTGCTTGAGTTTATACTGGCATCTTTTATATCCGTTTGTTTAACCCTCATCACAGGACTGCCCACAGTCACTGTGAATGCGTTCGGTACAGATGGCTCTACCCAGAGAACCTTCTGTGCACAAAGGCTATATATGTCATACCCTGTCATACAGGGATATTGTTTCAGTTAATTCCATACAGTAACCTACACATGAATAATATAAATTTGGAAATGTGAAGAAACCTCCAAGAACAGCAAGGTGGTAGCTACCAGGGCTAGGAAGGAGAAACAGCAGGAAGTTATGGTAGCGTTTCCAGCAGGCAGACAGAGCTCTGTGCATTCTGCACTGCCCAGGGAGTAATTACAGTAATGCTGTAAGCCCAGTGTGCAGGTTACCAGAGGGCAGAGGAATGCCTAGAAATAGCAATATGATAAAGGAAGCATCCAGGTTGCTTTGATAGTTTTGAAATTTTATCTCCAATGCTTTGTAGCTTATCCAGTAATTGTAGACAGCCACACTTCATTGGCAAAATTAGAACAAACTATGTAAGCCAGAGTATGGAAACATGAGGAGACATTGGTTCTTGGTGGTTTCTCAAGTCAGCAACTCAACCATCAGGAATTCTTAAGTAATTTGCTTTCTCAACTAACTTCAGCCACTTAGCTAGGGACAGAAAAGCCTTCTCTCATAACAGCATCATTTATTTATTAGCTTCCCAAGCTCCCCTTTGAGCCTATCAGATAATTAGCTCAGTTGCATCTGAGGTCAAGAGGGTCTCTGGATACAGACCCCCTCATCAGATTCTTCCTGACCTGGAAAGACCAGCTTCTTGCCAGCTTCTCTGCCATGCACAGACATTGTAACACCATCTTGTGCAGGGATGGCCATTGGCTCTCTAACCTCTCCCTTGTAATTCAATATGATGATGATTTTCTTAAGCTAGTTATCAGCACACTGCCCCTAGAGAGCTAAGAGTTCATTTCCCCCACACTGTGACACCACGAAGAACTCAAGGTCACTTTTGGTCTGGGGTACTTCTAAATCATCTTCCTCTTCATAAAGACATAAAGGTAATGCCAACAAGTGAAAGACTGTTTGTCTTGTTAGCCCCTGGAATGAAAACCTGGTAGGAACACAGATAGTGTGATAGAATCAGAATTGTCCATATAAATATTCTGCTTTCTATGAAACGGATACTATATTCTACATAAGATTAAGAATCTTGTGAGTCTAGCCCCTTCTCAAAGAAAAATAACCCAATTATAACACTTTGGTATTGCTTAGTATCTCCACACAGCACATGTGAACTCCAATCAACATCTCCCCTCCCCCAATATAAATGAAATAATTAGAAAAATGAAATTTTCTCAGATTTTTTTAGATAGCCAATTTAGATATTTCAAATATTCAAGTAATTTTTTATTGATATGCTATAAATAAAGCCCATAGGTGGCTTCTGGTTAGTCGTATTTTATTTAGGCTAGCCAGTGTAAACATGTTTGTGGAATGTAAATGTTTTATTAGCATATACTAATTACACATAATGGGTCCATTATGACATTTCCATACATGTATACAATGTATTTGATCATGTTCATCCACCCGTTACCTTCTCCTGTCTCTCCCCTATTCCCACTGGTCCCCCTGCTATTTTGATGGTCTAATGAATTTCATTAGGTTGCTTAGGGAAGCATAGACACAGGACTGTTCACAGGAGTGTGGACACCTTAGTAGTAGTTAGACTGTTGAAGAAAATGTCTATCCATCCACCACTAACTGTGTATAGGTCCTCCATGCTAGGGTATTGACAAGTTCATCCTTACTCCGTTTTTCTTGGAAAAAGAAAAAAAAAAGGCGTTATTAATGAAATCATTGAAAGGGGACTCTGGACTAGTTACCTGTGGAGGATGGGCCAGAAGGCATCCATTAGCTCACTCTCCTCTGCATTTTACTTTTCTCATTGATTTTTCTTTGAATAAAACTAAAGGAAGCGCCAGACATGGTGGCACATGCCTTTAGTCCCAGCACCCAGAAGGCAGGCAGAGCTCTTTGAGTTTGAGACCAGCCAGAGCTCCACAGTGAAGCCCTCTCTCAAAAAAACAAAACAAACCCAAATCCTAAAAGCAGTCTCTGTGATCTGCTCTATGACCTAACAACACAGTGGAAATTGCTTCTTAGTCTCAGAGTTAATGGCAGTTCTGGAAAGACATTCAGGACAATGGCTCTTCTCAATGAGGAACCAAAGATTTGGGGGAGATGATTTTTTTTTTTTTTTTTTTTTTTTTTTGTCAGAGTGGAACTGTCACATTGCATGAGAACTGATAGTGGGCAGGTTTACCTTGCTGGGCTGCTTCCTGGGCAGGGCTAGTCATAGGAAAAAAGAGACTAAGAAATGCATATGAGTTGTATACAGGAAGGTGTTGGTCCGCTGCCTTTGAGCTTAGACCCTTGGGCCATTATTAGGTTATGTTGTAATGCCTGCAGACATTGTGTGTAGTGGTGAAAGTATACCTGTAATAAAAACCACCGTTTTCTGCTTTCCCAGTGCAGTGACTAAAACAATCACTTATAAAGCTCTTAGTGGCAATGGGAAAATGTGGGCTGGAACTAAGATGAGAATTATGGTAAACTGGATGTGATACGGGAAACATCAAATGATCAAATTAGCTTGCTGACTTGAAAAAGAAAAGACTACAGGGTTCTCCCAGTGTTTGTAAAATAACTGCTAACTTGGAATTGTTACCAAAGAACCACTAACTCCGCGGGTGTCTTTCTGTTGTCTGTTTTTCTGCAGTGATGGATCTAACCTTCTAAGCATGAAGTTGTGTATATAACGGTCCACCTTTTATATTTATAGTTGAAAACTGAGTTGCAGATTTTCCAAGTGTGGAATCTGCTCGCCTGGCACTGCTTCCCCCTGTTCACAGTAATGCAGACGTCCATCTTTTCTCACATCTGAGGTTAGGCAGTTCACAGAAGGAAAGATAGACCAGTGTCTCTATTTTATGTGAACATGTGTATTTATATGGACATCAGTGATAAAGGAACGATTGCTCTCGCTATTTTCTTATTCGGGGCCTGTTAATTGCATGGACAAAGAGTGCCATGAAATAGTTTACATGAAACTGTGACCAAATACGGACTCAAAGCGATGAACATGTAGCGCACATTCCTAGCAGCATTCATTCATTCACGCCCACACCACCTACTGAAACTGACTAAAAACAGCATGACCGTGTGCCAGCCTGCTTGTGTAAACACAGATGCTTGCATGCTGCCTTCCGAGTTCTTTGACGACATCTGAGCTTTTGTCCCTTTGTCGTCCCAAGGGGGTTACACCGTGGCTAATCGCCAAAAAGAGATAAGTTGATGGAGAGCACCCACACAGTTGGTCTTATATTTTGAGGGAGTTGCAGTCCCGACTGCAGATCCACAGCTCCTAATAAAGCGGGCTCCTGTGACCGCCTTGGTTGAAATACCAAAGGGTGGAGCCGATTACTACCACTAGTTTTCCTTGGGCTGCGCTTGGCAGTGAAGACGCCGGAAGAGGACCGGTTAAGCATCCTGCACTGTCTTTCGTGTGACCAAGTTGGAAGGAGGTTTATAACCATGAACACCCAGAACAGCAGGAATTGTTTTTCTAGATGAACTGACTTCCCAGAGGTGTTGATCAGAGTGCTTTGGGGAAATGTCAGAGGTAATGCGGCAGTGTTCTGGAGACGGCGGAGCCTTGGAATGGAAGTCCCCATTTGTGCAGATTGAAAGGTGTGGACATCCCATCAGAGCTCAGGTTGCTGAAGAGAGACTATGTCCCAAGAAGGGATCAGACATAATAAGCTGTGCTGCAAATGCTGGGAAGTTCCTTGTGCTCACTCAACCAAAGGTGGCCAGAAAGCATCCCTCTCTCCCTCCCTTCTGGGGTTGACCCATACCAAATGTTTTGCTACAAGTTCTAGAAACAAGATGTAGTTTCCATTCTTTCTCATACTTTTTCTTTTCCTAGTCCAGGAACAGAAAATATTTGCTTCAGTTTGGGTCTCATAGTTTTTAAAGAACATTTTTTAAGAAAAGTTTTCAAATCTTAGTAATTTGAATCCAATAGTAAAAATAACCTTTTAACATCTCCTTTTTGTTTGTTTATTTGTTTGAGATAATTGAGGAGATTATAGGGAGGCTTCATTTTTTACTTAATCATTATAAAGTATGAAGATTAAGCATTTTCCACTACTTTTTGATTTACATTGACAAAATTTACCTGTCAGTTATTGTAGAGTTAGGATTTTATCACATTTAATGGCATGAACTTGCTTCTTGTAAGTTTTTTCTGTATTGAAGTTTATTTCTCAAGTTTTGTTTTTACATTTCTAAGTGTTTGTCTTATACACAGACCAAATTTGAGATCTCAGAAAGCCCTGAAATACAGTTGCCAGAAAAAGGGTCTTGTTTTTACCAGATTGCTCAAAACCTACCTACGCAGACTTAGACTTACTCTTTGCCGAGTCTGTGGCATGTTTTGAAATGACTTATTCTAAGTGGAAGGATTGCCTGGGAAAAGCACCATCCGTGGGAGCAGTGATCCTAGCAGCTCCTTAGAGAATTTCATTTCCCTTGGTGATTAAATGTCATTTTTGTGGGAACATTTCTAGTTTGGGGTTTGGATTTTCACCCCCCACAGAGAAAATTAGTTCATGCTTAGGATCACAACAAAGAAGATACAATTTCAAAGCAGATCTTAAGATGTCTTTCATATCGTGTAAGCAAATGCTCAATCATACAAATGATATCATCTTTTTTCTTTATGTCATTTCTGAGGTTAGAATTTAAATGTTAAATCAGACTATCTGGTAACATTTCTAATAACATTCCACACTCCTAAGCCAATTTAGCATTTTTTTTTTTTTTTTTTTTTTTTTTTGGTGAGAGTATCTTCTAACAAGTTCTTGTATGATGTGGTTAGGGTAAGGTATTTCTCAATATATGAAACAATTCGTCTTAAATCATTTGGGGCACAAAAATGAGCCCGAGGTTACACATCATCTTCAGGAACAAAACAAAGCAACTATGGACAATCTGGTGACTGTATTTCCTCCTACCTTCGTTTCTGTTTCTCCATTAGAAAGAGGTACAGAGAGGGATCACTGTTTAAAATTGAGAGATTCAAATGAGACTAGCTCACCAGCGAAAGCAGCACTGGACATACCCCTGGAAAGAACACTGCCCGGACTGTGTGTGCACTGCGGTGTTGCTCATAAGACACATGTAAAGGAACGTGTAAACTTCTATTTCGTGTACTTCCTTGGAACAGACAGCGGGACACTGAGAGTCCTCTGCACTCCGTGGATTACTAGGTTAACCACCATGAGTGAACCTGAAACTTTGGACTATTTGAAACCTCTTTATCATTCATTATGTCATCAAACTGAATAATTTCCAAAGGAATCGATAATGGATTATCATTGTTGATACATATATTTATAGATAGCCTTCTTTTTCGTAAAGAGTTCTTTAGGAGAATTAAGAAAAACAGGTATGGAACACCCACTGGAAATAGGTCAAGGTCAGGTTTTACCACAGAGACAGCAGATGTCTCTAAGATGCCATTGTTATGTTGTCAATTTACATTGTTCTCCATTAACTTTGTTTGCTGCTGGTGAATCGCCTGCCTTTTTATCTTTATGGATAGTGGACCTCTACTGTGGGCAATTTCATTTCTCTGTTTAATGGCATTCCTAAGCTTTAGTGTGTGATTTGATTTTGAAGTTCATGAATCTGTTGTAAATGTACTTCAATAACCAGCCTTTCCTTGTATAAAACAGCGTTATGTGGTCCTCTTATTCTGTATTCATTTTATATACCATATACCTTTATCAGTCTCCATTTACCTTCTCTTTTGAGTTCACTCACCTTCCAGCTTACATACTGTAAGCTTGACACAACCAATGTTAGAGAAATCTGCACATGCCACGCAGGGTGCCTGGTACATAACTATGCCTGAATCCCTCCTCGGCTTTCCTTTTCCATTATCAAATGCAGCCTTGGAGGGTTTTCCTTTATCCTGTTATTTTATGGAGAATATTGGAGTGTCGCTCACTCCTACCAATAGGAAGTTCTTGGTTTGGGATTTCCACTCTGTGCATATGATGTGTTAGTGGGGCAGTTTACATCCGTGTACTTTGTGTATGTATCTGCTAGCTTAAGGAAATGGCCAGATCACCATTCTGTACCTATGGGGAAATTGTCCTTGGAAATTAGGCACATTTCATAAGTGCCCAAAATACCAAGTATTGAACACAAAAAAATAACATTTTAATCCCTCTCCCACTCCATTTGTCTGGTAGTTCAGCATCTTCTCGAAAGAGGTCATGAGAAACTTGGATGCTGACATCTGAAACCTCCATTTCCTTCCTTTCTTGATATTCAGATTATTTTCATGTTTAATGCTACCAAAAACATAGAATTTAATCATTTTTACCAAAAAAAAAAAAACCCTACTATTTTATAAGGTTCACTGGAGCCTTATCATTCCAAAAATACTAAAAATGACCAGCTGTGATACTGGTGATTGACAGGTCTGACCAGTTATGAATCTGCCAAACTGGGTTAGGATATAAAGGCCCTCCGCCCCTCCTCCTGCTCTCTTAGCACATCTGCTCGCTCAGAGACACTTCTCTAACTTAGATTGCTCATGAATTTATTTAGGGTTTTTGTTACTTCTATGGTAACAAACATTTTAATGGCTTCTTTTTTCACCAGAATACATTTACATGTATAGACTGCCTACTCTGCTTATGGGCAGGACGTTTTGGAGACAGGAGGATGGACCTTGTTATGCTTGATTTCTTGACAACAAAGAAAATACCAACATTTCTCCAAATAAATCATATTCCCACATATCACAGAAATATTAATGAGTCGGGTTCACAAAGAATGTCTCACGTATTGTTGGCATTTGCGTGGATATTCTTCATAGTGTTGTAAATGTTTCATTAAGGTGGACATTTTAAAAAGATGTATGTATCTGATTTATCTTTGGGAAATATTATATTTTTATTTGTATTTTTTACATTTTAAAGTTCATCTCTATGTGCAGCTATTTTTATATTGCCAAAAACTCACATAAATGCATAGTAAGAGGGAAATGGAAAAAAAAAAAACGGCACGCACTGCCTTGTGGGTATTTTTATTTTTTTTAATGTTCCATGGGCTAGTCTCATGTACTTGGTTATTCTAATAATGTGCTGTATCTTTTCACTGTGTATATGGTGCAAACCTGATTGTCTCAGCAGTGTAAATATTTAAAAGATTGGACTTTCCTGTTTGATTTCTTATTTGGATTGTCGTTTTGTTCCAACTGTCATTATTGACTCAAAGGCCTGTGAAGGTTCTGATTTGCAATTTGAAGATAATTGCTTTGGGTTCATTTTCTAGTTTGTTTCTAATTTACTTTTAAAACTTGTTTTCAGGGTTCCTAGTTTGTGAGAAGTTGATCTTCGGAATTATTTTTACACTATTTATGACTTATTTTCATAATGTAAAAAGTGTGTAATTATTACAATATTAACCCAAACAATGATAATGAATTGTATTGTTATAAAGTTTTAATGATATTCCTGAGAACTTTGTCCTATTCTCTTTTATTTAGAAACAGTTGACAAATAATTTTATTCTACTTTTCTTCATTATTGCAACCCTACCATTCACACCACACCACAGTGTGATTTTTTGTTTTTGTGTTTGTTTTCTGGGTTGTGTAATAATGCTTCCAAACTCAGCTCCCACTCCAAAGCCACTTTGTTCTGGAATTCCCTATTTGTATAATAGAAGTCGCCTCACACTGGGTCGCCTCTTCCTCTCCCTCACCACATCGGAGTGCAGTGCATAATTTCATTTCACACCGATACACCACGTGACCGACGACTGGACGCCCGCGCAAGGCACCAGTGATCAGCAAATGTCAAAGCCTTTCCCGAACTCCTTTCTTGTTGCTGCCTTTCTCAACACTAAGTCCTCATGCTCCTGTCCTCTCTGCTAGGTCCTCCTCCTCCTCCCTCCCTCCCTCCCTATCAGCCCTCAGGGCTGTAATCTGCATCTGTCTCTTCAGGTGCTGCCCTGCCCAGAAATGGTCCTCTCTGGAGGCGCTCCTTCATGTCCAGGGTGACGAGGGAGTCAGCGCTTCCTAACTCCACACTGGCTTCCTGACCAGCTGACAAGTAGCCCTGCCTGCCTGGACTCCCCACAAGCGCTCATTATATTCGCGTTCACCCCTGCTTTTCTAAATCTAGGAAACAGAGACACCTTCCCTTGCCCTCCAGGCAAACTGGATGGACACCTCAGTCACTTGGGACACAGCCGCTTCTCATAGCCGCCCCCCCCCCCCCGCCCCTTTCTGCAAATACACAGTGCTTATCCATCCCATCACCACACTTCGATGTCCTTGTAACTCCTAAGTCTCAGATCCACCCCTTCTCTCCATCTCCCCACCCCCTCCCATACACACACTGACTCAGTCTAGACTACACTCAAACCTCTCCTGTACTTTCCTAACAGACCTCCTGCGACTAATAACCCCTTTCCCTTCTCTTCATACTCTCTCATCTTGAGGGTAATGTTTCAAAAGAAAGTAAAAAGAAAACTAAAAAGGTGTGCCACGTGCGATTTCTCATGAAGAACATTGCCTTTTAGAGGACCCTACAGCGTTGCAACTTCAGAGCCCAGGGAGATGGGTCAACAGATAAGGATACTTGCCGCCACGCCTGACAACCTGAGTTCAATCCCCGGAACCCTCATGGTGGAAGGAGAGAGCCAATTCCAAAAAGTTGTCCTCTGACCTGCGCGCGCATGCGCGCGCGCGCGCGCACACACACACACACACACCATGACATGCACATACACATGCTAAATAAACAAAAGTTATAAATGATCTGTAGTTTTGATACTGTTCCTCAGTATAACCCAAGAGCATGCGTTAACATAACTTTATGGAGACAGCTCTGCAGGGAACCTGAACTGTACTCCCCCCATCCCTTGCTTTAAACCCCCAGGAGTCGCCCCTCTTGATGCAGACCCTTTGCTGTAGAGCCCGCGTGATCACACATGACGAGCTTTATATAACATCCTGTCCTGCAGGCCAGGAACACTTACCCAAAAGTTTTCCCATGGCAAACTACTCAACAAATCTTCCACTGCTTTTGAGTCTGAAATAGTCCCTATTCCCATGCCCATGATCCAGCTGAAGAACACATGCTGTTCTTCCAAGACATGTGCATCAGCTTACTAAACGTGCCTTCCTGCCAAGATGAGCTACTCCTGCGCCCCGGCCACGTCTTGTGCTTATCACTACTTAGCACGTGGCAAGTTTTTAGTAACTACATGTTTGTCTCCTCCGCTGGACAGTGAAGGGGAAAACATGAACCCAAATCAATGAACGAATAACAAGGTTCAAAGTAACAAAAGTCACTTGATCCTATGAAGTTAATGTGCATAATAGTTAATCCACGTGGCTAATTCAGAGCATGCCTGGATGTGGCTCCTAAAACTAAAGGAAGATGTGTTATGACTGTTTCTAAGTCCAAGTACAAGCTGGGGGTAATATCACCAACTTGGTGTACTGTCACCTACTAAGAAGCCAGAGAGAAGTATAAGTTTGCAGTTAAAGGAAGGGGGTTGAATTCTCTACCGACTGGACTGCGTCCTCAGCCCTTATTCTCTTTAGAACCAAATCCCTGCACGCCCATTACTTTAGTAGTGTTTGCAGTGACGAAAAGGTCTTACTCCAAATCCAGAAAGAGAAGCTCCGTCCTTGAAGGCCCAGGGCATCATGTATCAGGAGCATGGGGTGGTTGCTGAGTGACTTAGAGCAGGCCATTGAGGCTTAGAACAAATTGGTTCTGGTGCAAGTATCTATCTCTGTTCAGTGTGCGAGGGGTTACCACCCCACAAACACCACAGGCTGGGCATTCTAATCACCCTTCTCCCCATTGATTCTAGACTGACTCTAGTGCTCAAATGTTGGCATCCATCAGAATCACTGGAGACCTTGTGAAAATGGCTTAGTTTCTGACCCAGTAGGTCCTAAGTGGTGGTGATGAACTTGATCCAAGGCCTACCCTCGGAAGAACTGTTAGTCTGTTCTAGTTTGTGTCTTTAATGACCTTAGTAGCTTGAAGTGTCCTAAGGCAAAGATGGTAGATTTCCTTTACTGAGAACCCTTCCAGATGTTTTCTTGCCTTATCAGTGTTTTATCCTCTGAGAGCATTCTTTCGCAACTCCCTCAGGTAGAAGCTGCTCACACTCACACTGCATCTACATTCTCCAGGGAAGGAAAGCTGGTTGTCTGCCTTGCTCCTTATTTCCTCATTTACACACAACTATCCATTCACAGACACAAAGACTTCGCTAAAGCAGATTCATCAACCAACAGAAGCAGAGGCCATATGATCCCCTCACCTCCCCAAAGCCACACTTCTGAACCACGCTGCTATAGAAACCAGGCCTTCAGCACCTGAACCAGCAGCTGAAGACACTTCAGCTCCAAACTGTAACAAACACACTCCTTCCAGTTCTGAGACTGTGCAATTCCATCCATGACAGGTGACAATGAGAAATAATAGCAACTTGTTTCCCTAACAGTCATATTTTAAAAATAATTTTCTATCAGTTTTGTCTATGACCTTATTATATCTGGACGGTGTGAATAACAGAGTGTCAGTATTTTTATTTGAGAAAAGAATCCAGAGAGGAGTAACAAACCCAGGGTGACGTGACTCAGTAGCAGACAGTACAACCAGAACTTTCCAAGTCTGAAAACATGATCCCAGCCCTGTGAATGACAGCTGTGCTAATGTGGATTTTCTGTGAGATGTTCAGGCAAGAAAATTTCTGAATTCTCATCATTTTCTTTTAAGTTAAGCTTTCCTTTCCCTTTTTCATATTATTTATAAATTACTTCTAGAATGCTCTCAAATGGTATTTGCAAAGTTTCTTGTCATCCAGCAGACTGTAATATCAAATCTAATCACTGAAATCCAATGGGCTGAGTTTGAATCTCTGTTCAGCCACTTACTAAGACAATGTATCTGACCTTGATGAGTTCTAATTTTTAAATTTACAGAATGAGAACGAAGAATTACCGTATTCAAGGTGGCATGTAAACACAGATACCAGTAAGTTAGCTCCAATACGTGCTTAATGCAGAAGAGGATCACAGCACGAGCTCTCCACTCTCCTCTCTTTCCCTCTCCCCTTAAGACAGGGTCGCAGATATCCCAGGCTGGCCTTGAACTTGCTATATAGTCAAGGATGACCTTGAATTTCTGATCCTACTGCCACCATCTCTCAGTGTTGGGGCTACAGGAACTGCACTACCACACCTGGTTTGTAAGGTGCTGGGGAATTGAACCCAGACTTTCACACATTCTAGGCAAGCCCTCTACCAGCTGAGCTACAGCCTCAGCTCCTATTGCTATCTTTAAAATAAAACATAGCCTTCCTAGAGTTTCTGCAGTGACCCAACGTCCTATTCCGTGTTGAGAAAGAGAACCATCCATCATTAAAAGCTAAATGCTGTTCCTTGCATCTCACTGAGTATATCACTACTCCAAGGGTGTCCGAGCACAGTGTGTAAATGAGCTTAAGCACGACCAGTGACACACAACCTCATGAGCAAGCAAGTTTGCTTCTGATAGCTTGAATTCAAAAGTAATGTCGCCACCTCCCAAGACACTTGACAAGCTTCATTGTATAAAACTGGTAAGCCACTGATAGGGGAAAGAGAGGCCTCCCAGGGACCAGAGATTCAGGGGAAAGCCATCGAAGACAGCTGTGCTGAGAACCACTGGAAGGCTGCCTCCTGCTGCATTTTGCCTCATGTTTGCACAGCTAGAGCCAAGCTCCAATCCCGGAGTTTACTCCAGCAATCACACATGCTGGAACGCTTTCGGAACTCCCAGTTTCATAGTGCCAGCATGATGATATGCTGCACATTGTAATATCAGCAAAGACTAAGATTCTTAACACTTAGAGATCATGAGCTTTTCTTGACTTGGTTGCTTATTGATCAAGAGAACAGAATTTTGTCAGCATGCAATGCAGGTCAACTCCTAAATTGTTTTCACAGAGGACTGCGAGCGAGCGAGCGAGACTCTCCGTAACTTCCTAGCAATCTACTGTATGGTTGACATACATAAATGCATGTGCAATTTGATTAAAGCAGAGCTAGCAGGGCTACGCAATCATTAAGTAACTTACGGGCACTACACCACACCCACTACCCACAAAGGTAGTGCCTTGGGTTCATATGCATCCAGCTTGTTTTCTCTAATACTGTTGAAAGATTCCTAATGAACCAAGAAAACCTGCTTGTTCTTTGAGGCTGGTGGTGTGAATTTAAGTGATCCAGCAAATCACTTAGCTCTATACAGCAAATTACTCTATACAGCAAATTACTTAGCTCTACACAGCAAATCACTTAGCTCTATACAGTGTAGCTACTGTATGACCGAACGCTCCCTAGTCAGTGCAGTTAATAGTCAGTGAAGGTTGCTGCCACACTCTGTACAAATATGATATAAAGGAATTCTTGCAGGGTTAGGAAGATGACTCCATGGTTAAGAACACTT